ACATTTGCCGGCAGTCGGTTCCTCCCCCCCCGCCCCCCAACCTCCTTATCACCCGAAGGGTGGTCGTATAGGTACCCTGGCTGGCTTGCTTGTGTCCGCTGGCACCCGAAGGAGGCTCGTAGCGTGCCAATCACAATCTGAGATGTTCCATGCCATCGGGACATGCGTTGTCTTGTCCTGGCCTAATCCATTGCTGTCCTACCCCGTCTGTCATGCAGTACGCAGCTCATCCTAGTCTTTCACTCTCGTACTTCAGTGATCGATCACTTGTCAGTGGTCGTCGCTCTCCTACGTTCGGCCACATCTCCTCTTCTGTGGCGTCCACCCGTGGTGCCCTGGTACCGGCCAGATCATCGCTCCGAAGCTGAAGGGCAAGGACGTCCGCTACCAGAAGGAGTCTGGGCCAGAAGCAGCCAGGCAGGCACCAACACCTGCATTGGTGCTGTTCCCTGCTCCAGCCCCTCTTCTTCTTCTTCTTCTTCTTCTTCTTCTTTTCCTTCTTCTTCTTCTTTTTCTTATTCGTCTTCTTGTCATGCTTCCAGAAGGGAGGAGAAGCGCGTCCAGAGTAGAGATCGCTTATCCGTCTTGCAGGTTCTCGATCCGTGTGGTCATCCCCGCGCGCAGATGCACAGCAGAGTCCGGTCGGGGTCCGGACGTTCCACGAAGCACGCCAGTGTGGGTCTGGTCGTGGCGCGCTCGTATCTACGCCTCCGAGTTTGCAGCAAGCATGGTCTCGTCGCGCAGAGGACCTCGACGACTTTATGATCTTGAAGCTCGACGGCACCGAGAACGAGTGGGGTTATCCGAAGGTTCCCTGGGTGAGAGGGGGAGAGGAGGATCGAAACTTTGGCATATCTATGTCCTTTTGGGACTTCCAGGCGCCGCCAGAGACCCCTGGATGCCTCCAGAGACCTCCGCAGGCTGGCGGGCGCTCACGGTAGCCTCCAGACTCCAGAGACCTCGGGTGGGAGAAGGCGGCTCCCGTCCAGGATTATCCTGTTTCCTTCTCGCTGTGAGGAGATGATTCCTTCTCTTTCCCCACGTGCTATGAACACCGACGCCGTCGTCCTCCCTTCCCAGAGCAAGTTTTGCAAGGCGATTGGCGCAGCGGATCCCGCACCTCGCCGTCCCGCACAGCTACTGCCATCAATGTGGCCTCGACTGTCCAACAGCAAGGTGAACGGACGGGCCATTTTCAAGACGCCGTTTTGCGAGCAGACCGTGCCAATTCGCCATCACGTAATTCGTCCGAGGCCGATCCGCGCGGAGCGAGCGCCAGCGCTGCGCACATCAGGCTTCGAGGAAGCCCCTGCCCCCGTCCCCGTGCACGGTCGCGCGCAGCTTCGAGCGCAGAGCACGGTGCCGAGCGCAGAGCGTGCTCTCCTGCCTGGGCACGCCGTGCTCCGCGCACCGATGCTGCGGCCCACAGCCCTTCGCCCTCGGCGGCTGCCCGCCCCGCCCTGCCGACGGGGCCTCGATTCCTCGAGCGGTGCCTGCGCCCGCTGCGCGGAGCGGCAAGGCCCAGCTCCTGCGCGAGTGGCCTGCGCGGTGCCTGCGCGGCTGCGCTGGGTGGCCTGTGCGCTGCCTGCAGTGCCGCCCCGGGTCCTGAGCGCCAGAGGTTCCCGGTGGCCCCAGAGGTCTCAGGAGGCCTCCGGAGGCTCCTGGAGACTTCCAGAGACTGCCGGAGGCTTCCAGAGGCTCAAGGCATTGCAAGCACGTCCGATGTCTTCGGCCCTCGATCCTCTATCCTCGATCGTCGAGTGCAGATCCCAGAGGCGCCGAGGGGACCCTGGGTCGTTCCAAAAGAAGCAGGCTGGCGTGGCCATGTAGCCAGCTGCAGCCGCTGCTACACCCTCTGGCTCCTGACGGGGCCGACCTGCCCCCACAGGCCAATGAAAGCGCTGGTTGCAGCCTGATTTCGGAATCGAGCCGCCCGTACTCGAGCCAGTTGTGGGAATGCTTTGGGAGGAGGGCGGAGGAGGCCAGAGGGAGTATAGTGCACCGGGGGGGTGCGGGGAGTGGAAGGAGGCTGGACGAGGAGGGATGGGGAGCAGACGGGGAGTGAATGGGGAAAAGCGGGTGGACTGAAGTGAAGTGGGAAGGAGGGCGGAAACGCGCAGAGGAGTGCGAAGGAGTGGCGAATAGTGGGAAGGTCTGTAGAGGAGGTGGGAGGGAATCGAATATAATGTAATTTTGGGGGGCTCTGGCGCGTACCTCGCCCAAGAGGACCGCCTCGAAAGGATCCACGAGGGGCCCAAGACGACCCCAAGAAAGTCCTCGGGAGGACTGAACGCCCCCTTGCCCCTGCAGCTCCTGTGGCTGGAGTGCCATCGGACGGCTTTGAGAACAAGTGATCTTCATCTTCGCATCTTGCTTAGGTCCGCCGAAGCACTTGGCGCTAGCTTCCAGGCGACCCCTGATAGTCCTGAAGTTCCTCGTGTTTCGTCGAGGTTCAGTCTTTTTTCTATAATTCACTGTTGGTTCACTGATGCTTCATTGTACCCTCATTATGTTTTTTGTTACCTGTCAGTGGGATATGCCAAGTGCACCAGGCGCGACAAGTGCGCCACGCGCAGCAGATGCCAGCTTGTGACGGGTGGTCTGCGTTTGCCAGGCGAATGGTACGCGCCACGTGTGACAGGTGCGCCACGCGCGTCAGCCGCACCAGGCTTTCGCTGGCACGACCGCAGTTCTGAGGGCGACAGCCGCGACGATGGTGGCGATGATGGACTATGAAGATGATTGTTGCGAGTGTTCGTGGATTGCGGCCCCAATCGATGCTGTATGTTCATGTGGCCTTGGATTTGAAGGCTTCGCTCGTTGCGAGCGCAGCAGGGCAGCGCGGGCACGGCGGCAGTTTTGAAAGCGCTGGCTTCAGGATAGGGACAGCAAGCATGTAGATCTTGAGGCGCTGGAGGAGCATGCCTGCCTGCCCCCGCGGGCGCTGCGCCGAATCGGTGGACAAGCCGGCCAGTGGCTCCCAAAGGATACGTAAACATCTTGAGTGGGCAGCGCGCTGCGGCATCACTGGGTGATTTCGTTTTCGCTGTTCTCACGTGCACAGCTTGGCTCCACATGCATGCAGCACTGCTCGAGCCCAACAATGCCTGATCACCACCAGACTGCGAGCACAGGGGCGCCTGTGGACACCGTGTCACCTGTGAACACCAATGCCTTTGAGCAGCGCAAGAACGCAGAGCGCAACATGAACAATCAGTACGGTATGTCTGTCCCCAGTGTATAAGCCAAATGTTACGCCTCCGCCCATACTACATCCTCCCTGCCACCTCCTTCCCCTAGCGATCCGTCCCCCATCAATCCTTCCACCGTTGCATCCTTCATCCTTCCATCCGTCCTCCCTCCATGCATCTTTCCATCACTCCTGACCCTTCGTGCCTGCATACGTCATTCATCTACCCTTCGATTTTTCTACCCATCCATCCCTCCTCACCCTCTCCATCTCTCCTGCATCCCTCCCTGCCCCAGTCCCTCCAGCCATCAACTCATCCCTCCTGCCTCCTCCCTCCAGTCGTCCGTCATCCTTCATCCCTCAATCTTTCGTCTATCGTCCTCGCATCCCTCCTCCCTCCATCCCTCCTTCCACCATTCATGCTGTATCCTCCCTGATCCCTGATCTCTCCATCTCCCACCCCTTTTTCTTGCCTCCGTCAATCCCTCCACCCATCAACCTTTCCTATTTCTTCCTCTGTTTTCCCTCCCTCGTCGCCGATTTCTCTGACCATCCACGTGTCCTTGCTCATCCCTTCTTCCTTCATCCGTCCGTCTCTCCATCCCTTACATTCTTCCATACCCTTTCCGCTCTTCCTTCAACTCGCTCTCCTCCTCCTCCTCCTGCACCTCTTCCGCGTCGTCCTCATCTTCCTCCATTTCCTCCCCCTCCTCCCCCTCCTCCTCCTTCTCCGCCTTCTCCTCCTCCTCCTCGCTCCTCCTCCTCCTCCTCCTCCTCCTCCTCCTTGGAAAGATCCGCGAAGGCACATGCGGTGCAGTCCTGGACTGCGTGCTCCGACACTTCCCTGATCAATGCAACTGATCTGGGGATCGCGTCTGGATAGGTCGGTGGGGGCACAGGAAGCGTCGCACATTCTGGTGGGCCAGTCTGAACATGCGGCAACAGAAGACAATGCCTGTCCACGGACAGTACATAGACATACTGTTCGAACCCTCGCACTCTTGAGGGGCATGTTCATCACCCCCCCTGCCCCCGAAATCAATGTTGATTTTGGCATGGGTGATGTTTTGGGAGTTCGAATAGGTCTGTCCACCCATGCCTCCTCCATCGCCGCACCCTCAATATTTGTTTGGCGGGTCCGGGGGGCACATGTCCATGTGCAGTAGCTCCCCGCGCGATGTCAAGCACAATCTGACCGTGTCCCGAGCCCGTTTGCCACGTCGTCGCGTGATACGGCCCTCGTGGCGTGTGCATCGCGGCGCTGATTACTGGGTGGCCGCCTGCGGGGTATCCTGAGGGCGGCCCCTCTCTCTCTCTCTTTCTCTCTCTCTCTCTCTTTTCTTCTCTTTCTCTCTCCCTCTCCCTATCTCTCTCTCCCTCTCTCTCTCTCTTTCTCTCTTTCTGCATCCCCTTCCACGGGTCGACGAAACTACGAACAGTGGGTCCAGGTGCAGACCCGTTGAGGTTGGCCACTGGAGATGTCCCATCTGGATTCAGAGGGATCTTGGAGGCGACCTGGAAAATCATCAGAAGTGAGAGCGCGGTCCGACGCCTGTGGGGAGGGGCCATCACATGTGTTTTGGGGTCTTGTGCGCAGGGGTCTGCGGTGTTCGTTCTGCCCATCCCTCCATCCCTCTTCTGCTCAGCACGGGCTTCGCCTGGTCACCCGGCAGACGATCGTTCCTTTTACCCTTTTCTGTCTCGCCTCTCCCTTCCTTCCAGACGGCCAGGCTTCTAGGCGCGAGCAGCTGCCCTCCTCCTCCTCCTCCTCCTCCTCCTCCTCCTCCTCCTCCTCCTCCTCCTCCGCGTCATGCCGCAGCCTCTGACACTGTCTCTCCCCGCCCTCTTCTGGTCAGCGCCACGCAGGTGTGGCTCCAGGAGCTCCGCTCCCCTGCAAGGCAGACGCACTCGCTGGCTCGGGAGCTCCCGAGGAGAGGGCTGCTGGCCCTCTGGCGGGGGCGATCGATGGGGGCGGGGGGGGGCTCCAGAATTGCAGCGACTAGATCCTGAAGCGGCACACATGGGGTCCACTGGGGCCCCGAAAGTGCACGAGAGGTGCACCTCCCCCCCCACCCCCCCCCGAAGGAGCACGATAGGTGCACCTTCCTCCCCCCCCCTTTGATTGCCCCCCCCCCTCAAGCAACGCCCCAGCTCGGCCTCCCTGCCCCGTCGCGCCTGGCAGGCCAAGCTGGGCGCGAACGCCATCCTGGCAGTGAGCATGTGCATCGCGCGGGCCGGCGCGCAGGCACTGGGCCCCCTCTGCGCCCCCCTGGCCCCGGCTCCTCCTCCTCCGCCTCCTCCTCCTCCTCCTCCTCCTCCTCCTCCTCCTCTTCCTCCTCCTCCTCCTCCTCCGCCTCCTCCTCCTCCTCCTCCTCCTCCCCTTCCTCCTCCTCCTCCTCCTCCTCCTTCTCCTCCCCTCCTCCCCTTCCTCCTCCTCCTCCTCCTCCCTCCGCTTCCTCCGCCATGCCAGGGATGCCTGCGCACTCTCGATGCCGCTTCCAGGAAGCACCCTCGTCAGGGATGCCCTCAAACAGATACTGTTTGAGCCTGGTCCCGTCTCCCTCCTCCATTACCTCTCTCGCGCAGCATCTCAGATCTCTTTCCTCCTCACTTTCTCCTCCTCCATCCTGCCTCATCCCTGCCCGCCGTACTCTAGTCGAGGCATCGACACGATTTGCTCCAGCATTGCTCCCCCCTGATCAGCCCTTGCAACTTACCCAGGAATCGTGCCCGCGTCTCGGCGCCAGCTACCTCCTCCTTCGAGTCACGGGCGCCCAGTTCTCTCCCACAGCACAATTCGACAACCGAGGTGCAGTCAAATGGTTCGTTTGGGTCTGACCCCTCCTCGCTCCTCTCTCATCCCTCTCGGAGCCCAGAGTTTCGAGGATGTCTCAAGTGAAACTGGCCAGACCACCTCGCGCTCGGAACACAGTTGCGAGGATGGTTCAAACGAAACGCGCCAGACCACCTCGCGCACATTCTCTGAGAGCCAGGAGGTACGAGGATGTTTCAGGCGAAACGAGCTGGATCACCCCGCGCACACCTTCAAGGAGCCCAGAGTTGCGAGGATGTCTCAGGCGAGACGCGCCAGACCACCTCACTCGCAGCATCTCGGAACCCCGAATTACGAGGATGACTCATGCGAAACGGGCTGGACAACCTCGCGTGCGACATCTGTGAGTTCAGAGTTGCAGGGATGTCTCAGGCGGCGTCCAGAGCACTCCCAGAGCTCAATTCGACAACACATGTGTAATCACATGGTTCGTTTGAGTCTGATTCCTCGTCCCTCTTGGAGCCCAGAGTTTCGATGATGGGAGCCCCGAAGTGCGAGTGTGGCTCAGGCGAAGGGCTGGACCACCTCGCGTGCGACATCTGGGAGCTCAGAGTTCCGAGGATGTCTCAGGCGGCGCCTGGACCCCTTTCCCAGAACATAATTCGACAACAAACGTGTAATCAAGTGGTTCGTTTGGGTCTGATCCCTCCTCCCTCCTTTCTCCTCCCTCTCGGAACCCAGAGTTTCGAGGATTTCTCAGGCGAAACGCGTCAGACCAGCTCGCCCGCAGCATCCCGGAACCCCGAATTGCAATGATATCGCAAGCGACACGGGCCACATATCCTTGCGCACGTGTTGTCAGAGCTCAAAGTTGCAAGGACGTCCCAGGCGAAACGAGCTGGAACACCTCTCGTGCAGCATCTCGGAGCTGAGGGGTGCGAGGATGTGTCAAGTGAAAGGCGCCGGACCACCTCTCGCGCGGCAGCTCAGAGATTAGAAATGTAAGGACGCCTCAGGCGAAACGCGCTGGACCACCTCCCGCGAGGCAGCTCGCAGCGCAGAGTTGCGAGGATGTCTCAGGCGAAACGGCCAGGAGCACCTCGCGCGCAGCATCCGGGGGCTTAAAGTTTCGAGGATGTCTCAGGCGAAACGGCCAGGAGCATCTCGCGCGCAGTATCCCGGGGCTAAACTTTCGAGGATGTCTCAGGCGAAACGGCCAGGACCACCTCGCGCGCAGCATCCCGGAGCCTAAAGTTTCGAGGATGTCTCAGGCGAAACGGCCTGGACCACATCGCGCGCAGCATCCCGGAGCTTCGATTTTCGAAGATGTCTTAGGCGAAACCGCCCAGACCGCCTCGCGCACGGCAGCTCGGAGTTCAAAGTTTCGAGGATGTCTCAGGCGAAACGGCCTGGAACACCTCGCGCGCGGCGTCCTGGAGCACAGATGTTCGAGGATGTCTCAGGTGAAACGGCCCGGACCACCTCTCGCACGGAATCTCGGGGCTTAGAGTTCCGAGGATGTTTCAGGTGAAACGACCTGGACCATCTCGCGCGCGACGTTCCAGGGTCGAGATTTTCGAGGATATATTTTGACGAAGTGGCCAACCCCGGACAACTCAGAAAGGAGAGTTGTGAGGATACCTCAGGCAATACGGCCTGGACCACCAGATTTGAACATGTCTTTGCTCCCCTTTCCGTCGGCCAGAGTGAGGTTCAATCACGTCAGCAAGCTGTTTGGGGAAAAACCAGCCCACATGCGACAATGAGCCCCCCCCCAGTGTACCGACCCCCCCCCCCTTGGTGCCCCGGGTTTCCCCGTTTTCGGCCGTTGTTGGGTGTCTTCTGGGATGTTCTCCGGCCGCCTCTTGTGCCCCCCAGCGCCCGACCCCACGCCCCTCTCGGCGGTGCCAGCTCCATTTGCCTTGCTCCCCTTCGGCGACGACCCCGCCTTCGACCACAGGCCCGCGGCCATCGGTGCGCGGCCAGCCAGCAGCCGTGGGGCAGCCCGGCACGCTGCAGCTGCAGGTACTCTCTCGCGCCGCCACCACCAGCCCCTGCTCCTCCCGCTGCCAGCCCAGCGGCGGGGTCGCGCCTTACCGGAAGGCTTCCGCCGCCCCCCAATGCGCGCATCGCGCCCCAGCCCAGCTCGCAGGCCGGCCCCCCTGGAGCCCTGCCCTGTGCAGCGCCGCTTGGCTGCGCTGGTCGCCACCTGGCTTGAGGGGGAGTGGGAAGGTGCTACTTTCGTTCGTGTGTAGCAGAGGTGCTGGCTGGCCAAGGGCTACCAGCTCCAGCAACGCTGATGCTCCACCCGCCGATTTCTCCGCCGTCGCTCTTGGCGAGTTCGTCGGCACCAGACCCACTGACACCCTTGGCACTGCATCCTCACCTGCACCCTCTCGCGCCACTTCTTCTGCGGCTGGCGTCGGGGCAGCTCCATCGCGGAAACGGCCCGCTCCCCGCCTAGCCAGGGGCGGGGACGGCAGCCTCGACGCCAGGTTTAACATGCTCTGATTTCGAGAACCAAGAATGTACCGACACTGGATCGCTTTCACGTGTCGGGCCGTGGGAGGCGATCTCGTTCGACACTGTTTCGATATTTTTCTGGGTGCTCGAAACTGTTTCTGGGATGTGGCTCTTCAGTACGATGGGAGCACCAACACGCTATAGGTCTGGCTTCGCCGCTCTTCCGGCGCCGGGCCCGCGCCAGTTTTGGTCTCTGTGCTCAGCGCTCCTCTGCCTGCGATGCGCCTGCTGTGCGAGCACGCGGCGAGCGTTGGCCGCTCTGCGCTCCTTTTGCCTTCGCGCCCGCCTCGGGGCTATCCCCCGGCTCGCACCTCATGCGTCCATGGTCGTTTGCCGTCATTCGTTCTCCGCCCCTCATGCCGCCGTGCGGGCAGCCCCATTGTGGTGCGTGTACCCTCCTCGCTGTGCAGTTCATGCACGTTCGCTACACGCGGTCCATGACCGGACGGCCTATGGCGTTCTCCATTCCTCACGCTGCCCTGGTGAGGTCATCCCACGGTCTTGCGTGTACTCTCCCCGCCATCCATGCCCCGATGGCCGATGCCGGTAGGTCTGCATCCTAGCGATGCTTGAGGGCCTGGCCGTCGCGCGCACTGTTACACACTCTGACGCTTTCTCCGCCCCGTCGCTACGCGCGAGTGTGAGAGGGAGAGAGAGAAAGAGAGGAAAAATAACAGTGTTTTTGCACCCCTTCGCCTCCTCGTTCCCAGACCTTCGACTGCGCGATTTGTTCAATGTGTGGGCCCAGGAGCTCTCGGCCCCTCTCTCCAGGATCAGTTTTTCGCTCCCGGCCGTTTTTTGATGGCCCCAGAGCTCGTAGGCGGCCCCCGGAGGCCGAAATCTTGAAAAAGCGTCCGCAATGTTCCAAGTCGCGATGTCGGAGATTTGCGGGGGCCCCCACAAAAAGGGTCGGGCACGACGTTTGTTGTTTCTGAGCAGTTCCATTGTGGGTCTTCTCTCTCAGGGTCACCAAGCACTGCCTGCTGTCCTCATGCCCTGAGCTCGAGCGTGGTGCTCGGCGGGTGTTGCGGGCTGGACTGCCTGATGAGTTGCATCGTCGATCCGATGCTTGCCACGAAAAGGTCCTGGAGAGACCCGTCATCGGGATCAGCAGCGGGCTTCTCGTCCCCCGAAGCAGCACAGATGCGTGATCTGGCCGCCCGACCGCCCGCCAGCGGTCTTTCTGGCAGGGAGGCCAGAGGCCATCGGCCTGGAGCCACGAAGGGCTACCTACCATACCCTCCTCTCCTCATCGTCTGGGCTACTGCTCCTTCTCCTGCTCCCCTCCTCCTCCTGCTCCTCCTCCTCATCATCTGGGCGTCCTCTTCCCCCGAAGCATAACAGAGAAGCGATCGGGCGGGGAAGCCGCAGGCCTTTGGCCTGGAGCTCTACGAGTACGTACCGCGGCCCAGAAGAAGACCCCGATCCCTGCCGATCCGCCGATCCGGGCAGATCTTCCTTGCGATGATGATTCTGACGATGCGGTTGGTGATGATGATGCTGATGGTGATGACAATGATGGTGATGGTGATGATGATGATGATGATGATGATGATGATGATGATGATGATGATGATGGTGATGGTGATGATGGTGATGATGATGATGATGATGATGATGATGGTGATGGTGATTCTGAGGATGCGTTTGGTGATTCTGATGACGATGATGATGGTGATGGTGATCTTCCTTGCGATGATGATTCTGAGGATGCGGTTGGTGATGATGCTGATGATGATGACAATGATGGTGATTGTGATTAATGATGATGACGATGGTGGTGGTGGTGGTGATGATGGTTGTGATGATGGTGCTGATGATGATTATGATGATGGTCTTGATGATGGTGATGATGATGGTGGTGATAATGGTGATGATGATGCTGTTGTTGGTTTTTGTAGTGATGATGATGCTGATGATGATGATGATGATCGTGGTTTTGGTGGTGATGATGATGGTGGTGACGGTGATGATGATGGTAATGATGATGGTGATGATGATGCTGTTGCTACTGGTCATGCTGATGATGCCGATAACGATGGTGCTGATGCTGACATTGGTGATCATGAGGATGCCGTTGTTGTTGCTGATGTTTCAGATGCTGGTGATGATGATAGTGATGATGATAGTGATGATAGTGATGATGATCTGATAATGATGAAGAAGAAGAAAGTCATGAGGATGATCATGACGGTGCGGATCATACTGATGATTATAATGATTATGATGGTGATGGCGATGCTGATGATGGTAATGCTGCTGATGATGATGGTGATGCTGATGATGCTGATGATGATTTTGAATGTGTTGGTAGTGATGATGATGCTGATGAGGATGACGATGACGCTGCTGCTGGTGATGATGATCGGACGATCGGACGGTGATGATGAAGATGATGATGAGGATGATGATGGTCGTACTGATGATGATGGTGATGATGGTGATTATGATGATGGTGATGATGTTGCTGATGGTGATGACGATGACGATTCTGATGATGATGATGCTGATCAGGGGGATGATGCCGCTGCTGCTGATGATGATTATGATGATCATGCTGCTGAGGATGCTGACGATGATACTGATGCTGATGATGATGCTAATGCTCATCATGATGATGGTGGTGGTGACGAGGCTGGTGATCATTGTGAAAACGATGATGCTGCAGATGATGATGATGAGGATGATGTTGATGTTGGTGGTGTTGGTTGTGATGATTACGCTGGTGATGATGAGGGTGATGTTGCTGCTGGTGGTCATGATGACGATGACGTTGATGATGGCTAATGTGATGATGATGATGATGATGATGATGATGATGATGATGATGATGATGGTGGTGATGATGATGATGATGATGATTATGTTGCTGATGATGATAATGCTGATGCTGACAATGATGGTGGTGATGATTATGACGACGACGACGATGATGATGATGATGATGATGATGATGATGATGATGATGATGTTGATGATGATGATGATGATGATGGCCATGATGAGGATGCTGCTCATGATGAGGATGCTGCTCATGATGATGCTAATGATGATTATGATGATGCTGATCAGGATGCTGATCAGGATGCTGATGCTGCTGATGCTGATGCTGTTGATGCTGCAGATGATGCTCTTGATGCTGCTGCTGATGATGCTGATGCTGATGATGCTGATGCTGATCATGATGATGGTGATGATGATGCTGGTCGTGATGATCATGATGATGCTGCTGATGATGATGATCATGCAGATTACGACAATGCTGCTGATGCTGAGGACGCTGCTGATGATGCGGTGATGGTCATGCTGAGGATGATGCTGATGGTCATGGTCATGCTGATGTAGCTGATGCTGCCGATGACCATGCTGATGCTGTTGATGCTGAAGATAGTGCTGATGGTGATGCTGCAGATGATGAGGCTGATGATAATGATCATGATGGTGATGCTGATGATAATGGTGCTGATGCTGGTCTCGAGAAGGGACTGTTCCCCTAGAAGTGTTAGTCAAGAAGTGTGGTCGGACAAGGCAGTGGATGGCAGCATTGCAGTTGCTCCGTGAAGGAATTCAATTCGGTGTGCAATTCCGCCCAGTTCACTACATTGACTGTCAGCGTAGATAGAACAGGTGGGCAATAGAAGCACGCACTGTCAGTGCTCAGCGAGATGTGGGAGGCGAAGCTGGAGATCACAAAGGGATGGGTGGGTGCTAAGGTCGGCGAACTCAAGGACCTGCCCCCCCTTCCAGGAGAGGAGGAGGGAGGAGTAGGAGGATGAGGGGGAGGAGGTGGAGCAGTTTCTTTGTTGCTTCTGTTTGACTTCTTGTTGTTTCACCTATTGTTTGCTTGTTGTTTGCACACAGTGTGAGCGGCTCTATTGTTGATTGCATTTCTATGTGTACACATACATGCATCTTGACACTCATTGTCGGAATTATTATTATGATGTGTTTGGCCGTTGCGGGGCCTTTCGAGGTTTCCTGGGACCTCTGGAGGCATAGGGGTGCGCGTGTACACGCAGGCCCAACCATTCGCCATCGCGTGCGCAGTAGCTTCCTGCAAACCTCCCTGGACAGGGAAGACCTCGTACATCTGTAGGCCTTGCCTCCTGCCCCCTAACAGGTCCCCACGACGCTGTTAGGAAGCACAGTTTGCCCATGCAGCCTATTGGCCACCCCAGGTTGCTTGATCGTATTTGGGATCATGCTGAAACCTCCAATGACCGCCAGTTTGCCAACCGACGACACGAGTGAGGCGACCCTGCCAAGAATGTCGACGTTGCTGTTTGACGGGTCTTGGCGGTGGTTCAGGTACACGCGGCAGACAGAGAAATACCGAGAAATCCTGGGCAGGCGAAGCAGAACTCAAATCGCCCTACCCGACCCGGGACGATGCTCGGGTCGAGTTCCTCTCGGGAAGCTAGCTCCCAAACAGTCCACGGATCAGGCCCCCCGCCCCTCCAGACGCTCTCTCGCCGTCAGTACGGAGGTTTGGGGTGAGGCAGGCGTACCACCCTTGACGTTTGGCCAACCTGACCGCAGATTCCAGTGCGTCGCCCGAGAACACATGGTGCTTCTGACGCAACACGACGGTGGCCGTGGTCTGGGGCAGACTGCATCCATGTAGCTACATGTATCGTTTCTACTCTAAGATGGGGGTGCTGTCTAGGGGGGTCTGGGGCATTAGGCATAGCCGATCGATCAAACTTGACTGCGACAAAATTCGGATACTGACCCAAACCCTGCGGCGGTGGAACTTCCACACACATGTTCTCAGACGACGCCCTGACAGTGATGGCAGAAAGCGGAGATCTGGAAAAACACGCGCACTCAAACGTGCGAACGTTGGGGAGCCAGGCGGCTCCCAGGAACGGCACCCGCAGACAGGTGCGAGTAGTCATGCGCTTGTGGCGCAGAAGCATGCGCCACGCCTGCAGTACTAAACGTTCGACGGGTCAGCATGGGCGGCGGCTCCACCCTTGTCCTTCCGTTTGCCAGCATGAGCACCCCCCCCGCGCCGTGAGGGCTCCACGACGGCATGCCTGGATCGCTATCTTTGGCCAGAGCTCGACCTCCTCCTGGTCCCTACTTTGTTGATGATTGCCGAACGTCCACAGTGCAGGAGGCCGCACGTCCGCTGCCATTTAGGCCCGTCAGTTTGCGCTGAAGGGGCCTTCCGCCCGGGCATGCCGTGGGGGCTGGACGCTTTGGCGCGCGACCTGACCCAGGCCGCCACCACCGCACTGGTGGTGCGGTCGGGGGTGCCGTCGTGCCCCGACTGCGTCTGCTCCCCCTTGCTGGACTGCCCGCCGCTGACCTGCTCCTGTCCCGGCGGGCAGGGCCAGGTGAACCCGACCGCCGCGGAGGGGTACTCGGCGGGGGAGCTGGCGGTGGTGGCCGGCGTCTGCCTCCTCCTGGGGGCTGCCGCGGGCGCCGCGGGTGCCGTCTGGGCGGCGCGCCCACGGGCAGCCGCCCGCCTGGGCGCCTGGCTCGCCGCCGGCGCCTGCGCCGCTGGGCCCGCCGGTGACGGGGCTGGCCGCGGCGGAACCAGCGCCGGCGGGAGCGCCTACGCCGGCGGCCCCGCCGATTGAGGACGTCCAGGGGCTGGCCGTGGCGCAGGCGAAGGCTTTCCGACGGCCGCTCGCGCTGGGACAGTGATGGCGGCCGAGGTCGTGTCGGGCTGTTTCTTCCTCACTCGGTACAGCGTGGTGGGCGCCGTGCTCTTCCACGTGGGGTGGCTCCTCCGCGTCACGGGTTACGTGGTGACCCCTGCCATGAACGACTACGGCGAGAGCGTGGCGTCGCGGGCGGACATCGTCAGCGACCACCTGAGTGCTGGGCGGGGCGGCTGCGCCGGCGGGCTCGCTGAGGCACAGGCCTGCCGTCTCCGCCGGCTGCCGACGCAGGCGGAGCTGTGGGCGGCGCGGCGCCGAGGAGCGGCAGCCGCCCCGCTGCGGACCGCCTCGGCCGCGGTCACGCCCTGGAGGGGGAAGCTACGGCGGCGGCTCCTGAGCGGACGGCGGCGGTGGCTGACATCGACCCCGTCGCGTCCTTGGCGCCCAAGGCCGCGGCGGCAGGCAGGGTCTGGGTCGCCGCGGCAGACGTCGACGGGCTCGTGGCGTTTGGCGAGGCCCTCCAGGGTGGCGTGGCCGGCGGAGGGCTGTGCGCCAGGAGGATGGACCGCCGTGGTCGCTGCACGCTTGCCGAAGGCGGCTGGGGCGCCGAGGTCATGCTGCAGGAGAGCGAGGTGGGGTGCTTCAAGCGGGGGTACCACGGCAACGACGCTCGGACTTTGGAGCGCCCGGCCGCCTCGGCTGCGATGCGTGGGCCACCCCGCGACTGGCGGGCGGTGGTGCAGCCGTGCCACAAGGAGCAGATCGCCGCCTGCACGATGGCTGTATCGCGCACGGCTGCTCGGTGGGCCAGGTACCAGGTCAGAGCGGGAGGACCGTCGCTCCGTCATGACATGTGGATGGGGCCACGGGAAGCACACGTACATGGACTACGGCGTGGACATGCACGAGACCCCCCCCCCGCAAGTTTGAGGCCATGGGAGTGTCGGACCACCTCGACCGTTGCATCTTGGCGAGCGGGGAGATTGGGTTCCGCGCGCTCCAGCTGATCGGGCGGCACTGGGACGACAGGGGCGCAGAGCAGCAGCACAACAACCGCGAGATCCCTCTGGCAGAGAGCCAGGCCGTTGTGGGCGGAGCTCACGCGCCTCATGCGGTGTGCCCGGGGCTGCGCGGGACGGTCTCGAGGGAGTTGGGGCGCATGTCCAGCATTAAGAACGCCGGGAGGCTCAGGGAGGAGCAGGCCGCCACCCCCATGGCGAGGCCGCTCCTCCCAAGGGATCATGATGCAGGAGCCGCCGCCGGGGTGGCCTCGGCCCGGCGGCGAAACTTCAGAGAGGCTGGTGGATAGCGACGGACACGTGCAGCGGTCGCTTCTACCCTTGCCAGTCCATGACTGGCGTGGAGCCCCAGGCGGCCCCGTGCGGGCCCGCTCTGCTCGACGCCGGCGCGGGCATCGGGCGCTGCAGGGCGAGCTCCTCGCGGAGTTCGTGGTGGCGCTCAATCAGCTAGATGCCGGCTCGGACCTTGTTCGCAGACAGTGCGAGGGTGAGCCCGGAAGGATGCAGCAGCTATGTTCGGAGCGACTCGCCGAGAGCTGCGCGGCGATGGGCGCTCCACCTTCCGACGCGTCGACCGAGGTGGCCCTCCGGGAGCTCCAGGTCGGCACCGCTTACGGGGACTGCGACCCCGTCACGGCGGCCCCCTTCGTGCACGACTTCGTCTCCTTGCGGGCTGCCGGTGGCACCCCGGTGCCGCTGGACCAGCTGCTCGGGAAGGACGGTCCAGAAATCGTGCGGAGGTTCATCGCTACCAAGGTTTTGTCAAATCAGGATGCCATTGAGGCAAAGAGGGACTCGGGTTTTGCACGGCCTTATTTGGATCCAGTTCTTCGTCGGCGCGACGGCTACCTCGCCTTCATCCGGCGGATGGGGGCTGCCAACATGTTGGACTTCAGGCTCGACGGCGAGGATTTCGAGGAGGTCGGGCTCTTCGCAGTTTGGAAGAAAGACGGTCGCCAGCGTCTGGTGATCGACAGCAGGGGATCAAATTTGCATTTCGCGGGGCCGGACAAGATTGGCCTCGCGGGTGGGGCGTTCTTCAGTGCCATGGAGCTGTAGGAGGGCGAGCAGTTGTGGACCGGAGGCGTGGACATAACCGACGCCTTCCATAACATGGGCTTGCCGAGAGATCTACGACATTACTTTGCTCTTCCTCGGTTGCGTGCGGGCGACCTTGGCTTCAAAAGTGTCGAGGGCCAGTCCGTGCTGAGCCGAGTGTGGGTTCGGCCGTGTTTGGCGGTCTTGCCGATGGGGTGGTCCCACGCCCTCGATTTCTGCCAGAAGGTGCACCGGACGATTGTGCTGGAAAAGGGGGGCCTCTCGAGACAGCTGAGATCGTCGACGGGCGCCCCCCCGCGGATGTGAGTGAGGGGGCCTTCGCGGCCTACGTGGGCAACTTCGTTGCCTTCGGCACGGGGCCCGAGAGGCCCGCCGTTATGCTGGGCGCGGCTCGAAAAGCCCTTGAAGGCGCGGGGCTCCTGGTGCGCCCGACCGAGCCCCCCGCGACCGTCTCGGAGCAGTTGGGCTGGGTCTTCGACGGGGAGCGAGGGGCCCTGCGCCCCAATAATCGCCGTGTCTGGTGATTGAGGCTGGGGCTTCTGGAGCTTTTGAAGAAGGGGTACGCCGCGGGCCGCCAGGTCGGGAAAGTCGCTGGACACTATGCCTTCATCGCTCTCGCTCAGAGGCCTATGCTTTCCGTCTTCAACGCGGTCTACAGTTTCTCCCGGAAGTACTTCTCACGGGTCATGAAACTCCCGCCTTCGGTTCGACGTGAACTTCAGTGGGCGGCTGCTCTCCTCCCCCTTGCCTGGTCTGATCTTCGTGCACCATGGGGCTCCAAGCGAGCGACGCGAGCGAGGAGGGGGGAGGGGTCTGCCAGAAGGAGGCCGACGTCGATATCATCAGGGCTGCGGGTCGTGATGAGGAGAGGTGGAGGTTTCGTCATCCTGGAGTTTCGCGCCCTCATGATTGTCTCTGTGGACCCAGAGACCCCGTGGAGGGGCCGAAGATCGTAGAGGGCGAGAGGTGGGAGGTGCAGGAGGTATCGAGCGAGCTGTACGGGGGCAGGAGGCAGGTGGCATCGAGTGGGGGATGGGCCCGGGCCGAGAACATCATCGTCCTGGAGGGCCGGGCCATCGTTCATTCGCTTCGACACGCACTTCGAGATTCGAGGTCTTGTGGTCGGCTTTTTTTCCTTCCCGACAACATGGGGCTCGTCTGTGCTTTGCAGGCTCGAGGGGCGCTCCTCCGCCGGGGGGGTCCTACGCATCGCTCGGCAAGGGGCTGCCTGGTGCCTGGCAGCAGGGGTGCAGGCCTCGGTTCGCTGGATCCCGTCCGAGCGGAACGTCGCGGACGCGCCCTCGCGACGCCGCATCCCATCGGCGTGTGGCTGGACGGGCCCGAGGGCGGGGACGAGCCGGACCTCGCCTGCTGGGGTGTCAGGGGCTCAGGCCGGCTGCGGCCGTGGGGCGGCGCGCGGCCCGCGCGGTGCCGGCGCGGGGAGCTGCCCCCGCGGCGTGCCGGCAGGTGCGGGCTGCGCCCCTGGTCATGAGGGCGAGTTTGCTGCAGGGGGCTTTGGTGAGGTCGAAGACGGTCGCCCAGTACGTCCCGCTGTGGCTGGTCATCCTTCAGGGGTGGCTGGTGGCTGCACTCGTGGAGGGCGCCGCCCGAGTGACGCTCAAGGACGACGCGGACGGCCTTCTCGCGAGGTGGGCGGACCGCGGGTTCCTCGCCGGCGAGGTCTCGCAGCGCGGGGCCGAGGCGATGGCCGCGGGGAAGTTCCTCAGGGCCCAGTTCAGCCACGCGGACTGCCAGTCGCTGCCGAAGGCGACGCAGGTGTCGCTGTTCGCGCTGGAGCTGGCCGCCGCACGCGGCTGGGCGATGGCCGCCTGGGGGGGCAGCGCGCGCCGCGGCTTCCGCAGGCGCGGCGGCGCGGCGAGCCGGGGCAGGCCGCGCCGGGCATGATCATCGCGCCCGCGCCGGGCATGCACGTGCGCGGCCGGGCCATCGATCTGCGCCCGTCCGTGGAGGAGGCAAGCGTCGAGATGGGGAAGTTCGACGTGTCCGTGGTGCTCGATCTCGCGGTGTTCGGCTTCCTGCTCAGCGCGCCTGCTTTCCTCAAGAGTGCGCGCCGGTCCCAGAGGCCAGGCCACGGGGCAGAGCCGCTGCAGAGGCTGCCGGCTGCCGTCCGCGCGCTGGCCCGCAGCCCGACGGCGGCCCTCCCGGCGGCCCGCGTGAGGCCTTTGCCTGCGCCCTGGCTTGCAGAGGGGCCCGCCTAGTCCAGCCACAGGTTTTTCTAGAATTGTTCAGTGGGCATGGAGGCTTGTCTCACGCTCTGCGGGCACGAGGCTTTCTTGTGCTGGAGTGGGGCCGTGCGCGTGGGCCCCAGTGGGATTTGGCGAAGACGGCAAATCAAAAGCTCGTGAGAGGCTGGATATTGGCGGGGCTCGTGTGGGGCGTGTTCATGGGCACGCCTTGTCAGACCTGGGCCAGGGCGCGGGACGCCGGGCCCCTTCGGGATCCTGACAACCCTCGGCCGTGCCTTCCGTCTCGTCTCCGAAGTGATCAGGAGTTGATGGGCTTGCGAGATCTCAGACATCCAGATGACCTGGAGGCAGTAAAGATAGGCAACCGGTTGGCCGCTTTCTGTTGTAGCATACTTGAGCTGATGCACTTCCTTGCTTTGCCTGTCGCCATCGAGAATCCAGCCCGCTCTCGCCTGTGGCTCCTCCCTCGCCTTTTGAAGGCCAAGGGCTGGCCATCCTCCTCCTTCGTCATTGCAGATATGTGTCAGTGGGGAACTGCCTGGAAAAAAAACCACAGGCGTTCTCGGTGATCGAATCGAGCTCACTAATCTGGCGTGTCGATGTGGTGGTAAGGTTTGCAGTCGTACAGGTAAGCCTCACACGTCAATTCACGGGCTAGCTACCGCGGGAGGCTTCAAGACCAAAGCCGCGGAGCGTTACCCGCCTCGTTTTTGCAGTGCCCTCGCAACCGCTTTTGACCAGGCCCACGGGTGCTCCAAAACTGGCCCCCTCTCCCCCCTTTTCACTTCCTAGGGGGCCCCTGTGTAGTCAACTCCTGGCACTGTCGCTTCGCTCTTCCCTGGCAATATTTAGTGATGTTTTGTTTACGAGAGGACCAACTGGAATGTTTGGCAAGGTTGCGTGTCTTGAGCCCTCGTCTCTGGCTTGATTGTGTCGCCGGGTCCGGCTCTTCCTGACCCAGTGTGATTGTGGCCTGACCCGGTGCTGCCTTGCCGAAGCTCGCTCCGTCCACACGGCGCGGAGATAAACTGGCCTCAGCAGCGGGGGGCGGCAGGCATGGCCCCTACTTTGTTGATGATTGCCGAACGTCCAGAGTGCAGGAGGCCGCACGCCCGCTGCCATTTAGGCCCGTCAGTTTGCGCTCCCAGTCCCACCCACCCTCGCGCGTGTCTTGAGCCCTCGTCTCTGGCTTGATTGTGTCGCTGGGTCCGGCTCTTCCTGACCCAGTGTGATTGTGGCCTGAGCCGGTGCTGCCTTGCCGAAGCTCGCTCCGTCCACACGGCGCGGAGATAAACTGGCCTCAGCAGCGGGGGGCGGCAGGCATCCTCCTCCTCCTCCTCCTCCTCCTCCTCCTCCTCCTCCTCCTCTTCCTCCTCCTCCTCCTCCTCCTCCTCCTCCTCCTCCTCCTCCTCACAGTACCAGCCGGACGTCCGACGCCGTGTCTGCCTCGGCAGGCCCAGCAGCATGGCCCTTGCGGGGTCCCCTGGGCAGGCGCAGCAGCACGGCCGTCGGCACAAGCTGCCGCCGTAGGCTCGACCGCAGCGCCCGCCAGAGGCTCCGCGTGGGCCGCTGCTGCCACAGCTGTAGGGGGCCACGTGCGAACCCTACCCCTACCCCCCACGATTTCTGAGGGGGAGGGTGGGGTTACCTTCGCTCGGGAGTTCCCGAACGAAGTGAACCCCACCGCCCCCTTTGGGGGGTATGGGGTCGGGTTCGCATGTGGCCCCCTACAGCTGCCTCGCCTTCGCCCTTCTTCCTCCTCTTGCCCTCCACCCTCGTTAGCATGGCCGCGTGCTCCAACTGAAGCCGTGCTGCACTGGCGCGGTCCTCGCTGACCGTTTTATTGCCTGGTATCCTGGATGCCGTCCTCGCTCAGCCTGGCACGGCTGGTCCGCCTCCGACTATCGGGCCTGGGCAGACAGGCCAGGCGCCCTTCTCGAAGACAGCTCGGCACGGCGTTGGCTGGCCAGATGCACGTTCTCATTCTTCTCGAGCAGCATGATGGTCTGCTCCCGCTCTGACTCGGACAACGTGGGTCAGCGTGAGGAGAGCACCACGATGTTTACAGTTCCTCCAATCAGCCCTTTTCTGCTTGCAAGTGCACTGCGAGCAGGACCACTTCGCGGCTTGGGCTGGCGCTGCCGATCATCCGTCCCAGCCGAAGTAGGTGTCCCACGTGTGGGCATTGCGGTATGCACCGCGGCCGCCGCGCCACGAACCGTGCGGCGGCGGCGCGCTTCTCCAAGGCTGCAGCGGAGACATGGAAAGGTCGCTGGACGCGAACGCGTCGTGTCTCGGCAGGGCGTGCCGTTGTGAAGATACCGCAACTGGCAAGCCCAGCAAATCGCTTGCGCCAGAACGGCAAGGGAGGGAGGGGGGAGGAGGATGTGGAGGAGGAGGAGGAGGAGGAGGGGGAGGAGGAGGAGGAGGAGGAGGAGGAGGAGGAAGAGGAGGAGGAGGAGGAGGAGGAGGGAGCATCCCTTGTGACCTCCGCGTGCAGGGGTTGGCGCATTGAGACTTGGGAGCTTACAGCGACCTCCAGGAAGTCCCAGGTCGCTTCGGACAGTGCTCGATGCGTGCGGCAGGCTTCTTGAGGCATCGACGCGGTGGCGCGAGTGACCCCCGCAGTCGTCGCCGGCGTCGTCGGCGTCGTCATCGTCGCAACGCTGACGCCGCCGTCGCCGCCGCCACCACTGTTGGCGTCGCCGTCGCCGCAACCGCCATCACCGCCGCCGCCGCCGACGCCGTCGTCGTCGCGTCGTCGTCGTCGTCGTCGTCGCTGGCGGCGGTTGCGGGGGCGTTCGCGTCAACGGGCGCGCCAGCAGGATGGTGGCTTCGACGCCACGGCTGTGGACGTGGCGCGAGCCAGGCCGAGGGGGGCGGCCTCCCCCTCCTTTTTTTGTGCGCTGTACGTTCTCAGGCTGGTTAAGCGCTATCGGAATCAAGATTGGCAAGGAGAGGCTTGGCCTGCAAGGGCACCGAGTAACTGAGCAAACAGTTGTTGACGTGAGGGGTATCACCCGAGTAAGTCAAACCTGGAACACACAATCGCAACCTGGGAGGATAGCGAAGGAGGACTAGAGCGAAACACAACGTGCAGGACGGCATGTTAAAGTGGATGGCAGTTTGCGGACTTCTCGGGTGGCAGCAGTTGTGAATGGCCAGAGCACCACGTCCCCCCCAAATCACAATCTTTTCAATCCCTCTGAATTGAATATCTGCTCAATCAGTGCCTTGCTCATGCAGCAAGCCAGGGCGGTGCAAGCTTGTCAGGCGAGGTGCGGTGGAGGAGGAAAGCATGTATAACAGTATATGAATGGTGGTGCTGGACCGTAATGGAGGCTGTCCTCTCCAGCGCCTAGCCAAAATGGCAAAATGCTGTACAGGCTGCTGCCCTCCTCCTCCTCCTCCTCCTCCTCCTCCTCCTCCTCCTCCTCCTCCCCCTTTTCTCCTCATATCAATGACTCATCTTTGTCGCACCACCAGGCGGGTCGGTAGGGATGTCTGGGCGTGTCGCCTGATCCGTCCTCACCATTTGTGATCCTGCAACTTGAGATTCCAGCCAGCTACAAAGATGGAGGGCGGAACGTTTTCATGATTAGGCTTGCGCCTCAGCGCCGCGCACATTTATCTGAAACGTTCGTTAGAAGGAAAAGGAGTGGAGCTCCTATTCAACACAGTGCTCTCGCCGCAGCGCGTCACAAGGCTAGAGGGCGGCTCCTTTTCAGCATGGGGCTCTCGCTTGAGACTTCCTTGAAACTGAACTGCCAGAAGCTTGAACAGACAGGCCTCGGACAAAAATAGCGAACACTCATGCCACATTCATCTGGGAACGCCTCCCCCCTCCCCCCAATGTTCAACGTTGGCGGTGGGTCTGATGAGTTGCACCTCGACCGCAGTCTCCCCCGCGCGTGCCAACTTTGAGTTCGGGGGGCAGGGGGGTATTCACTAATTGTTTCTAGGAGGAGGAGGAGGAGGAGGAGGAGGAGGAAGAGGAGGATCTGCCCGATGCAGCAGCTGCACGCGTGGAGGGCGAGTCCTCTTCAAAACGTTACCGCTGCACGGCCGAGTGGCGGGGCGTGCGCTCGCTGGATACTTCACTGAATTCGTGATCCTGCTCTTCGCGCTCGTTATCACCTGGTCGCAGAGATTCAAGGTACATCCTTGTTGTGAAAACGGGACTCGCCCCAGTGGCAGGCCCGAAGGGTGCACTCTCTCAAGGAAGCGCGCCTAGCAGCGAGAAGGAAGGCCTGTAGGGACTTCGGGGGAGGGGGGCTTGAAGCGGGCGGGTGTAGAGCAGCATCGCTGACGCATCCTGGGCGCCAGCGACGACTGGAGCCAGGCACATCCACCCCCCTGTCTCTCACCCTTGGTGCCCTCAGATCAGCCGTCGCTGAAAAAACGATCTGGACCCAGATCGAATACATCACTTTGGCTGTTCTTTACCTCCAGAGTCTACACGCTGCTCTAGGGGCCTCGAGGGACCCCTGGGAGGGCTTTCGGATTAGAGCCGCGAGAAAACAGTAGCGACGGGCAGACTCAGAGGATCATTCAAACTTGAGGTCCGGCCTCATTCTGGAGGCTTTTTCCTGGCCGTACAATCTTTGATTGTTGTAGGGGACAAGGACGGGGCAAGTCTCTCCGGGCTTATTTGCACTGCGTGCTCGCCGTTGTGTTTTTTCTGTTTGTTGTTGCACCACTTCCGGGCACCTGCTGTGCGCCTACCATTGGATGGAAAAGGCACTGCCCGCGGCGAAGTATGACGGGCGCAATGCCATTTTTACTAAGACCCCTGGCCAGTTTGCGCAAGTCCTCCGACGGCACGCCACGGCAGCAGGCATCCCTGGCGGTGGGTCCTTCCGGACTCATTGCCTCCGACGGGGGGTGGCCAAAGAAATCTTGGATTCCAGAGGGTCGTTCGTTGTCTATGCTTGTTCAGGCAGGTGATTGGCGGAACGCGGCGTTTGGGAGATATTTGCTCAATTCAAAAACAACGTTTTCGCGCTTAGTCGTTTGAGCCATAATAAACTCGAGTGGAAGTGCTTTGTTTTCTCCCTCTCCTGCTGTCTGCTGTCTTTCATCATCCTTCATCATCGCCCCTCCTGCCAACTACTAGTGGGCCTGAGGGGCAACGTTGGGGATTGCATGCTATGAGTGTTTCTTTGCAATCGCCACGATGAGAAAAGGTGGTGCGTCGCGTGAGAGTACCAGCCAACCGTGGCTGGCTGGTTTGGATTGTGCCTATCGACCCATGCCTCTCACACTTGCTGGTTGTACCTTGTCATTATACATGTTAGGGACGGGAGAGATCGTGGAAGAGTTTTTCTAGCCATGCAATTTTTGATTGCTGTTGGGGAAATGGACGGGGCGAGTCTCTCCAGACTTATTTGCACTTCTTGTTCGTCGTGATCGGTCTTGGTTTTGTCGGTTGTTGCCCACCACCAACCCAGAACACCGCCGAGGGAATATGTGGTGCGCCGAGTGAGAGTACCGGCCTTGTGCGTCGCGCGGGGGTACCGGCCAATCGTGGCTGGCTGGGTTGGCTTGCGCCCATCGACCCCAACCGGTCTACGCGTTTCACACTTGCTTATGGTATTTTGTCAGTATGTCCATCTGGGAGTGGAGAGATCGTGGAGGAGTTGTCCATCCATCCTGGAGGTGTTCTTCCTGCAGAGTGGAGGCCGATCTCCACAGTGCAGGTTGTCGATCCTCTGGGGAGGGCCCTCGCGTGGGGCCCCCGGGGGCCTCGCCGCACGCGGGTGTCAGAGGCTTGTCGCTGGGGACTTCGCGAGAGTGCTCTTGGGGCCCTCGGCGTCACGAGGAGATCGTTGTGGCGCCCTTTCCTTCCGCCAGGGCCTGTCTCGGCCCCGACCCCCCGAGCGTCGAAAGACGGCCTCGGATAGAAAAGCCTGCGGGAAGGAAGGGGTCGAGAGCCTTGGGGGGGCCCGCGCCGCGAAGTGCCTTGCGAGGGGGCCTCCGTGCACATGCGACGGGCGAGCGCGGCGGCAGAGACGGACTCGTGTACGCGTGTGCGCGTGTACGTGTGTGCGTGTGTGCGTTCGTGCGTGCGTGCGTGCGTGCGTGCGTGCGTGCGTGCGTGCGTGCGTGCGTGCGTGCGTGTGTGTGTGTGTGTGTGTGTGTGTGTGTGTGTGTCCGTATCCCCCCCGGCTCAGGCCGTCAGGGCTCGAGCACGCCCCTGGTTCAGATGCGGCGCCCTGGCCCCGGCACGATGGAGACCGCGGCGGCGCGGCGACGGCGGCAGCGGGCGGCTGCCTCCGCCCGCGTTGCCGGCGATGCGGGCGGCGCGGGCGCCGCGGGCGCCGCTGGCGCCGCGGGCGCCCCTGGCCCTGTGGGCGCCGCGGGTGCCGCCGGGGCTGCTGGCACCGCGTGCGCCGCAGTTCTGCTGGCGCTGCCGGGGCTGCCGGCGCCGCGGGCGCCGCGGGCGCCGCGTGCGCTGCTGGCGCTGCGGGCGCTGCCGGCGCCGCGGGCGCCGCGGGCTCGTCGTGCGCCGCGGGCGCTTTGGGCGCCGCGAGCGCCACGGGCGCCGCGGGCGCCGCGGGTGTCGCTTGCTGTGGTGGCGCCGCCCGCGCTGCCGGCGCCGTTGGCGCGGGGCTGCCGGCGCCGCGGGCGCCGCGGGCGCGTCGTGCGATGCGGGCGTCGCGGGCGCTGCCAGCGCCGCGGGCGCCGCGGGTGCCTCGTGCGCCGCGGGCGCCGCTGGTGCCGCTGGCCTTGCTGGCGCCGCGTTCGTCGCTGGCGCTTCGGCGCTGCGGGCGCTGCGGTCGCCGTGGGCACCGCGGGCGCCGCGGGTGCCGCTTGCGTTGTTGACGCCGCGTTTGTCGCTGGCGTTTCTGGCGCTGCGGGCGCCGTTGTCGCCGTGGGCAGGGCGCGGCCAGCGCCGCCTCGGCCGCCGCGGACGCTGCTGCGGCGGCGAGGGCGGCGGCGACCGCCGCCCTCGCCCAGGCGGCGGCAGCTGCGGCCCGCTCGGCGGCCCGGCCGAGCGCGTCACCTGGCCTGGGGCATGTATTCCACCATCATCACGGACTTCAGCAGGACGAACGTGAGCAGCACCGTGGACTCCACCAACAGGGTCGTGCACAGCATGACTAGCCCCAGCAGCACCGTCATGAGCAATACGATGTACTTCAGCAGCACGACCGTGAGCAGCGCGACGAACTGGGACCATCGCAGATCGATCCGGCTCGGAAAACGCTGCAGTAATATGAGGTCTACCAGCAACACTACCCCGACCAATCCGCGCGAGAAGGACTGGCAGCGCTGGAGCCCACCATCGTCTGCTACAGCGCCCCGCTCAGCGCGCGCGAAAAGGACTGCCAGGAGCAGCGGCAGACGATCCTGGCGCTACTCCGAGAGACGCTGGGAGTCAAGCTGGGGCCCATCATCAACGTCCTACTCCAGCCCTCCGACCAGCGCGTGCGAAAAGGACTGGCAGGGGCAGCTGCAGCAAGCCCTGGCGCTGCCCAGCGAGATGCTGGGGGCGAAACTGGAGCCCACCATCGTCATCCGCTACAGCGCTCCGATCAGCACGTGCGAGAAGGACGGGCAGGAGCAGCTGTGGCCGATCCCGGCATAGCCCCAGGGGGTGCGGCGAGTGAAGCTGGAGCCCACTTTAATTGATTCCTGCATCCCGATCAGCGCGCGCGAGAAGCACGGGCAGGGGCAGGGGCAGCGAGCCCTGGCGCTTCTCAGCGAGATGCTGGGGGTGAAGCTAGAGTCCGCCATCATCTGCTGCGTCGCCCCGATCAGCGCGCGCGGGGCGAACGTGCGCAGCGCGATGGTGGCTGTGGAACTGGATCCCACCATCAGCCACAACGGCGCCCTGATCAGCGCGTTCGGGAAGGACAGGCAGGGGCAGCGGCGACCAGCTCTGGTGCCGCTCGATGAGATGCTGGGGGTGAAACTGGAGCCCATCATAGTTATATGTTACAAGGCGGGGCGAGTGTGCATTGCGAGATGCTGGGCGTGATGCTCGAGCCCGCCAGCGTCCGCTTCAGCGCCCCGATCAGCGCGCGCGAGATGGACTGGCAGGGGCAGCGGCAGCCGATCCTGGCGCTGCTCCGAGAGATGTGGCGAGTGAAGCCAGAGCCCGCCATCATCTACTCCCGCGCCCTGATCAGCGCGCGAGAAGCACGCGCAGGGGCAGGGGCAGCCAGCTTTGGCGCTTCTCAGCGAGATGCTGGGGGTGAAGCTGGAGCCCGCCATCATCTGCTGCATCGCCCCGAACAGCACGCGCGAGACACATGCGCGCGGCGAGATGCCGGCTGCGACGCTGGGGCCCGCCACTATCCGCATCGGCGCCCAGCTCAGCACGGGCGGGAAGAGCAGGCAGAGGCAGTGGCAGCCGGCCGTGGCGCTGCTCAGCGAGACGTTGGAAGTGACTGGAACCCGACATTACCTGCCGCGGCGCCCCGATCGGCGCGCGCGGGGCGAACGCGCGCGGCGAGGTGCTGGGCGGGAAGCTCGACCCTGCCATCATCCGCTACAGCGCCCCGATCAGCGCGTTCGAGATCGACGGGCGCGCGCGGCGGCAGCCTGCCCTGGCGCCGCGCCGAGAAGTGTTGGGGGTGAAGCCAGGGCCCGCCATCATCTAGGCCGAAAGCAGAGCGCCAATTTCTTGACGCAATTTGACGCGCGATTTTGGGCAGGACAGGCAGGGGCAGCGGCAGCTGGCACTGGCGCTGCTCGGCGAGACGCTGGGGGCGAAAATGGGGCTCGACATCGTCTGCTACAGCGCCCCGATCAGCGCGCGCGAGACGGAAGTGCGCAGCGAGATGCTGGCAGTGACGCTGGAGCCCGCTAGCAAATGCTGCAGCATCTGCTACAGCGACCTGGCAGGGACTGCGGCAGCTGGCCCTGGCGCCGTTCCGGGAGGTGGTGGGCCCGCCTCGTCTGCTCCGGCACCCCGATTAGCGCGTGCGAGAACATCGGGAGGGGCAGTGGCTGCCGGCCCTGGCGCTGTCCAGCGAGACGCTGGGCGCGGAGCTGGGGCCCGCCGTCATCCGCCACGGCGCTTCGATTAGCGCGCGCGAGAAGGGGCAGCGGCATCCGACGACGGCGACGAGGCGGGAGGAGGAGGAGGAGGAGGAGGAGGAGGAGGTCGCGGAGGTTGGCGTCGGAAGAGGCGACGAGGGGCCGGAGGAGGTCAGGGAGTCGGAGATGGCGGTCAGGGGTGGGGGCCGAGCGACGGGGGGGGGGGCGCCGCGGAGTTCGGGGGGGGCGCGGAGGCGGAGGAGGAGTCGCGGGCGCTTTCGACGACGCGCGCGACGAGGATGGCGAGGAGGGCGACAAGGAGGCGGCCATGGAAGAGGATGGGGGGCCCCGCCACCTACCGCGCCACGTCGAGACGAAGGAGGCCGTCGACGCGGTCGCGGAGGTGGGCGTCGACGGGGGGGTTCGAGGAGGCGGTTCTGGACATTGGCGCCGAACTAGCCCCGCGTGGTCCGAGCTCCGCGGGGGCGGCGGCAATCGTGACGCAGGGCGCCCCTTGCAAGCGCCCCCAGGTCCATCCTGCGCGCGCCAATCCGGTCGATGCTGCGCCGCCAATCTTGTCGATGCTGCGCCGCCGGCCCCGTCGATCTTGCGCGGGCCGCGCCCGCCAATCGCCGGGCGATGCGGGGCGTGGGGGGGCCGCCGAGGAACCGGGGCGGCAGGCCCTGGGCCCGCCGACGTTTTTTTTTTCCGTTCGAGTGGAGTCCCCGCCCATTCAGAAGTGGACGGGGGCGAGGCGGGTGGGGCTCAGAAATCTGGGAGGGGCGAAGAGTAAGGTTACTTCGATCCGCATTGCTCTGACCAATCTCGGCCGGGCGGGAGCGCCCCGGACTTTGCGGGGCATGGCGAGCTTGCCCTGCGCCGCCCTGTCGCTAGAAGCCGCTTTGCGCCGCCGCGGCCTGCGTCGCCCGACCGCGACAGTCCGGATCAGTCCGGGCCTGGTCGCGCGCGGCGGCACCGGGCGGACGCGCGGGGGCGAAGAGAGCCCCGCGACCGAACTGGCCCAGCGCCCCCAGTGGGCGAGATGCGAGGACGGCGCCGTCGACTACCCGGCAGGCGCGGGCGTTCCGGCAAACTCGCCGGCATTTCCCTGGCCCGCGCCGGCCAGTGAGACCGCGGGGCCGCCGGCCACGGCCGAGGGCGCAGACGAATTGGACAGCCGCGCGCGTAGCTCGTGCAGCTGCAGCGCGCGAGCAGAGGTCCAGAGTCCTCCCGCGCCAGCTGTCTTGGCGGCTGCGTCGCGGACTGCAGGCCAGCCGCCGTCGCTGCGGGCGGCGTAGGCAGCGGCGCGGGACAGACGCGCGTCCCCCACCAGTCCTTCGCCGACCATGGCGCGCGCGCCTGCTGCGGAAGCACCGTCTGGAGACAGACCTCGCCTCGCCCGGCAAGCGCTGGGCGGCCTCTGGCTGATGTTCACGGAGGCGTGGGCAGACCCTCCGTGGATTCGCAAACGCTGGGGGTCGCTTCCTCGGGGGCAACAGAAAACAAGGGAAGTGGCTAGCTCGCCCAGAGATGGCCCCGCGAAAGGTTGCGATCGAATTCCGGTGCTCCCATGCCAATGCGCGGGAGGCAGCTGGCTGGCACTCGCGCCTCGCCAGCCTCGGCGGGCCCGACTGGCCAGTCCGAAGCAGCCGAGGGCCCTGTTTCGGCCGGGCGCTCGTCTGGCTTGGCGGGCGCCCCCGAGCGACAACTCGCGGCCCGCGTCGAGCGGCTCGGGGGCCAGGGCATGACGGCTTAGAGCTCGACGCGCGCAGTTCGGCGGCAGCGCGACGGGCCCGCGGCGGCGCGGCGCGAGCTTCCCGCGCGATTTTCTCGCGGCGCGCGAGTTGGGCACCGCGGTGCAGCATCTTGTGTCGGGTGGTCAAGCACCGGGCAAACGCCGATCCGCTGCTGTTTTGCCCTTGGACACACCGATCAGTCGCTCTGGTCACGCGCCGATTCGTCGCCCGTTGTGCCCTGTTAGTCATCTCTTCGCTGTCGCCCATGTACCCCCCGCCCATGTTCCGGCCAGCCAATGTCTCCCAGAGGAGGGGGGGCGAGGCCGACAGGGCGTTCGAGGGCGACATCGCGCTGCGAACGGTGGCGCGAGCCGGTGTGAGGCTATGCCTTGCCCCCGCCCAAGCCTTGCGATTAGTCGCTCTGGGCGCGCGCCGGTCTGTCGCTTCCTGATTCTGTCGTGTTTCACCCGTGCTTCACTTGTCCTTGCGTCGCCATTCCTGGCCTTAGGCCTTGTGGCGTTGTGTTTTCTGTCGGAGATGGCGCGGCGTTCCCGCCGCCCTCCGGCGGCTACCCCTTCCGTGGTGGTTCGTCGGTCCCCATCCTCCTCGGAGGTCGCGGGCCTCGGTCGGTCTTCGCCATCGTCGGTCGTTCGTGGGCTCGGCTGCGTCGCGGGGCCCCCCAGCGTCGTCTCTCCGGGCCCCCCTCCTGCCTCTGCCCCTGCTTGCTCTGTCCCTCCCCCCTCCTTCCGGGTCGCCCCCGCCGCGGTGATTGCCCCGCTTTTGCGTGCGTGATTGGTGGCCTTTGCCGGCGCGGTGCGCCTCCATTGTGCTCTTGGCACCTCTTCCTCCGTTTTTCACCCTTCTACGGCGCGTCCTTGGTCGATTTTCGATTTCGTGGCGACCTGGGCGTCGGTGCGCGCAGTGCACCTCGCGTCTGCACCACGCTGGTCGAACGGTGCCCTGCCGATTTATTTCGGTCGGCGCCTCTATTGCAGCCTGGTTTCGGCTCGCGTCATTGACACTGGTCTCTCTTGTTGGTTCGGCTATCCACCAAGGGTTTTCCGGCGTGGCGATTTTGGTTGGCTTCTGCCCCGCATGTGCGTGCTTTTACATGTACTGCTTTCCGTCACCACCAATCTAGGATGTCTTAGCGTCGGGTCCGCTGTTGTGGTGCCGCCGTGGCCCGTAGGTCTAGCACTCCACCACAATGCTATGTGTCGCCGGTTCGTAGTTCGTAGAGAAAACCATCGCCTCGCTGAGCCATGGCTCTCAGCGTTGCCCCACCAACTGGCTGGTCTGGCAGCTTTACAGATTGTAATCCGTAAGGGCTTCGCCCCCTGCCGCCGGCCCCCTCTCTCGGAGAATGGGCCATGGAAGAGCTAAGTCATGAGGCCTTGGTGCTGTTGTGAAGCAGTATCGAAACTTCATGCGAAGCCGATTCGCAATCAGCAAAACCAACTGATCACAAGAGGGGTTACCACACCTGGCGATTGGTAAGACGTGTATGGTGTACGGGCTTGGTTGCCACACCTTGCGATTGAAGGGCCGAGGGAGTTCTCGCAGTTTGGGTTACCACGCCTTGCGATGGATGTGCGTGAAGGGTGGCACCGAATTTCAGAAATGTGCCAAATCCCCTGTGTTTTTGGACCCTGAGCCCGCGGATCTGCGTGAGGGGTGGCACCGAATTTCAGAAAGGTGGCAAATCCCCTGTGTTTTTGGACCCTGACCCCGCGGATCTGCGTGAGGGGTGGCACCGAATTTCAGAAATGTGGCAAACCCCCTGTGTTTTTGGACCCTGACCCCGCGGATCTGCGTGAGGGGTGGCACCGAATTTCAGAAATGTGGCAAATCCCTTGTGTTTTTGGACCCTGACCCCGCGGATCTGCGTGAGGGGTGGCACCGAATTTCAGAAATGTGGCAAATCCCCTGTGTTTTTGGACCCTGACCCCGCGGATCTGCGTGAGGGGTGGCACCGAATTTCAGAAATGTGGCAAATCCCCTGTGTTTTTGGACCCTGACCCCGCGGATCTGCGTGAGGGGTGGCACCGAATTTCAGAAATGTGGCAAATCCCTTGTGTTTTTGGACCCTGACCCCGCGGATCTGCGTGAGGGGTGGCACCGAATTTCAGAAATGTGGCAAATCCCTGTGTTTTTGGACCCTGACCCCGCGGATCTGCGTGAGGGGTGTCGATTTCGAGCCCCCCCAGCAATTCAGACAACGCGTCCAGGGGACGCTGGAAAGTCTTGTTTGGGCCTCCCCCCCCCTCGCGCGGTCAATCAACTAGTTACAGTAACCAGCAAGAAGTCAACTAGTTACAGTAACCAGCAAGAAGCAGAACTGTAACACTGGAAACTACAAACTACAACTGGTACAGGAAACTGCGAATCACGCGCCTCGCAGCCTGGTGGCCCCACAAGGGGGCCGGCGGATTTGCACCGGCGCTTCAGGCTGCCATAAGTCGAGCTATCGCGCTCTTGGGGCCGCTGCGCGCTCTTTGGGCCATCATCTGTCGGTGATTACTGGCCTTAGTTTGCAACAGACTGCTCGCGCTTCAGTCCACCTTGAGTCGAGCTCGCTCTGCGTGCTCCTCGGGTTCTGGCCGTTGCGCGCTACACCACCCATTCTTCAATCTGCATGGCCGTGGCTGGACTCTTTACCATGGCGCGTTCGACTAAGTTCGCTCGCGATTGGCACCTCCACTTGCCGACCGCGCCCGGGGCTCCTCTGCGCCGCCGACTTAAAAGTATCTGTGTGTGTGGTGATTGCCCTCCCGATCGGTTCTTGCGGGCGAACATCGGCATCGCTCAGACAAAATGTTACTATGCGTGCGTCGCCCCTTTGGGGCGATGCGAGCGCTCAGGACTCTTACAGTACATGCTCCTTGGCGGCCGCTTTCCGGCCATGCCATCTGGGTAGCGGTCTACCATCAATCACTTACGGTGCGTGTTCGGTTCGGACGTGCGTTTCGAAATCGGGCGCATAGTACGAGTAGGCCTTTGTGTGTCCCAGGACAGTGTGCGGCGTTGATTCTCGGGTACGGGAACGCGGGGCGGACGCCCTCCCGCCAGTCCCCACGCTTGGACGATAGGGAGGGGGCGCCACGCGATGCGCAGCAACGCGAGGCGCTGCGAACCCAAACTTTGGGCGCGAGGCGTCGCGCAAGCTTTCCTGCTTGCACCTTTCATGGGCTAGCGCGCGATGGGGCGTGTGCGCCTCCTGGGTTGGGATGGGCGCCGCACGTGCTCGGCTGTCTGGGTGTTCCCCGATCGCAGACCCGCGGTGCGGCTTTTGTCCGCCTGGAGCTCTCTTGGTGCCTGTCGGCGTGGGCTGTCCGCGCTGGGCGCTCGGCGCAACGGGTGGCGCAGGCTGCTGCCCGAGCGTTTCGTCGGCTCGGGACACAGCTGCGCGATGCCCGGGCCGAGCACCGCACCCCGCGTCGCAGTGCGACGCGGCGGGCTGGTCGGTGCCCGCGCCTGGTTTTGTGCGCAGGGCCGGTGTCGAGGCTCTCTCCGGGGTGTGCGTTGTCTTGGCCGCCCATTTTCGCCGAGCCACACGCAGGACCCTCCTGGCGCGCGGTGGGCGCGTTTGCCTTGGGCCTTCCCGTCCCCTCTCTTGTTCGCCTTCCTCCTCTCTGCCGCGCTCTGCCGGCCGCCGGGCGTCGTATTTCGCGAGGGCGCTGCGCGATTCGCCGCCGAGTCTCGGCCCGTACCCTGTCCACTTTACGACCCGTTGGGGCTGTCGTCGTCCCTTTCAGTTCGCGTTGGCCAGTGCTATGAGACCGCCTGGTTGTGTAATTACCCCCTTGGGCCGCGAACGCTAAAATGTGTGCGGGTGGCTTGATCGGGACCTTCAGCCTTCAGCTTTGTTGACGCTGTCGCGCAAGGTGGTCAACGCAACCCGCTTGTGTAGTTTGTGACTCGCAGACTTTCTTTATCTTCTGGAAACAAGTGCGTGCATGCGTGCGTGCGTGCGTGCGTCCGTACGTGCGTGCGTGCATGTCTGTGTTTGTGTGTGTGAGTGTGTGTGAGTGTAAGTGTGAGTGTGAGTGTGTGTGAGTGTGAGTGTGAGTGTGAGTGTGAGTGTGAGTGTGAGTGTGTGTGTGTATGAGAGAGGGAGTGTGAGTGTGAGTGTGTGTGTGTGTGTTTGAGTGTGAGTGTCAGTATGAATGTGACTGTGAGTGTGAGTGTGTGTGTGTTCATGTTTTTGTGTATGGGTGTTTTTTCTCTCAATTGGCCTCTCTGGGTCCCAGGTCTAAGCACCCCTGCACGCGTGCACGCGCTGGCTTGCCCGTCCTTCCATTACGTTTGGTGTTTTCCCCTGCGCGTTCGGTCACATCCCGCACCCGCCCATTACAACGCCTTCTGGAATTCACGGTAGCATGTGCTCCAGGTTATCATTTGCTGCGGTGATGTCTTTTGGCCGTCGGGAAATTGTGTCGACCGGGTAGGTCGGCGGAGGCTCGGCGGTTAGGTCTGATTCAGGAGATCGAAGACCTCCATTCTGCAGGTCGAACCTGTTATGCTGAGGGAACAGACTTCCACAACGGAGGACAATGAACCATAACGGGCATCGAATCCACATTCAGAATATTTTGGTCCAGAGGAGAGTGGCAGGCAAAGAGAAGGGCGCCCGGCGGCAGGTCCAAGAAGTATAAGATGCCCGTGCCGATGATGAACGTCATCAACGGCGGCGAGCATGCGGGCAACAAGCTTCCCATGCAGGAGCCCATCGCAAGAACGAGGCAATGTGCAAGTCCTTTTTCAGAGTGCCGCGGTGGAAGGGATGCACCGACCCCCCGCACGACACCATGTTCGCTTCGCATCGCGTGCTCAAGCCAGCCCGTCCAGATGCCAGTGTCGCATTTATTGCTTCTTGGCCTCCTTCCTCCCGCTTCCCCTCTTCATCATGGTCGTCCTCTTTCCTTCTCCGCATCCTGGGCATGACGTGCTCGTCATGTCTTCCTTCGTCCTCCTGCGCTGTCGTCTCCTACGCTGGCTCCTTGGCTTAATACATCCGGTCTTGGAGTGCCAGTGGCGTTGAGAGGGAGTCGGCGGCGAGCGAGGGGGGGAAGTGAGAAGGAGAAGGCCTTCTCAGAAGGTTCGGAACTCCCTGGGCCTTTGGAGAAGTTTTTCCCTACCTAGGCTCTGCCTAGAAGGGTTCTCACTCTCTTGGCTTAAACGGCCGGGCAGTGGGAACCGGCCCGGGAGGTTCCCCCAGTATCCGCCCCGCGGTTCCCCCAGTTACGTCCCCTTAGCTTAGCGTTGCTTATCTCATCTTAGCTTAGCTGATTTCATCTTAGCTTAGCTTAGCTTCATCTTAGCTCAGGTTTATCTTAGGTTAGCTGGCCTTCATCTTAGCTTCGCTGAGCTTTAGCATAGCATAGCACAACATAGCATAGCATAGCGTAGCATAGCATAGCGCAGCATAGCATATCATAGCATAGCCCAGCATAGCATAGCATAGCGCAGCATAGCATAGCATAGCATAGCATAGCGCAACACAGCACATCACAGCATAGCACAGCGGCTGCATGGGTGTAATTCCCTACCTAGGCTCTGCCTAGAGGGTTAGCTTAGCTTAGCTTAGTTTAACTTAGCTTAACATAGCATAGCGCTGCATTAGCATAGCATAGCATATCATAACATAGCATAGCATAGCATAGCATTTCATAGCATATCATCGCATATCATAGCATAGCATAGCATAGCATAGCATAACATAGCATAGCATAGCATAGCATAGCATATCATACCATAGCATATCATACCATAGCATCGCATATCATAGCATCGCATAGCGCAGCGTAGCATAGCATGGCAGAGCATAGCTTAGCATAGCACCGCGCAGCATGACATATCATAGCTCAGCATAGCATAGCGTAGCATAGCATAGCCTAGCGCAGCATAGCGCAGCATAGCATAGCATAGCATAGCATAGCATAGCATAGCATATCATATGATATCATGACATAATATAGCGCATCATAGCATGGCATAACATAGCATAGCAACTAATGCTGCTTTCCTAGGGGCTCCAACTTCTAGGTAGGGTCGCACTGGGGTAATTAAAGCCTTCCCCGAAGACCAACAAAAACTTCTCACAAGGCGCGAGGGCTTCTGAGAAGTCCCGCCGCCTTCTGAGAAGGCCTTCTCCTTCTCACTTCCCCCCCTCGCTCGCCGCGGCCACACTTCCGCGGCCACGGCGCCAGCGAGCGGCCCGGCTGCCGAGCGACAGCGCCCCTGCACCGCTAGGCTGTGGAGGAGGGCTCGCGGCCTCTGCCCGTGCTGCTCCTGCGCCGGCCCAGGAGCGGGGCCCGCGAGCCTGATGGAGGCCCGGCGCAGACGCGGGCGGGAAGGGAGATGCTCGGCACAAGAACGCCTTTCTGCCCCCAGGGGCCCATCCGGGGCTTCTGACGAGGTCGACGGTCGACGGCATGCTTGCCCCCAGACGGGGGGCGTGCACAGGTGGGTCTGGCTGCGCGGACGTTCGCTCGCAAGCTGGCCGCGTAAGGCCGACGGGCGCATGCGGGGCTCGGACGGGCGCGTGCGGGGGACCCACGGGGGTGCGGACGGGCCCATGCGGGGCGCCCCGGATCTGGCGGACGGGCAAGCGCCCGGACGGTCCGAGGGCTGCGAGGAGCCTGCTGGTCCTCGCGCTGCCCACCACCACCGGCAACAGCTGGCTACGGGCTCAAGGCGCTCGAGCAGCACCGTCCCCTCGGCTCTCGGGTACGTAGTTCGTCGGGCTCTCGCAGCGGCCGCGCCGCATTTGCTGGCCTGTTGGCCGATGTCGCTCACGTTGGACATGGCGTCGGTCCAGGGCGGCGCTCGAATTGAAGGGTGCGCAGATCGAGACCTTCCATCTGTGGCGATCCAGTGTCGCTTGCCATCCCGTGAATGTTGAGTCTGACGCTGTGGGGAGCGATGCACCGCGAGCGTACGGACCGATGGGGGAGGCTCTCGCCCTCGGCGAGGTCTCGCCCTGACGGCGGGAGGCCGGCGGGAGGCCGGCGGGAGGCCGGCGGACGCCAGCGGAGGTAAGATTCCAGGGCGCCCTTCACAATGGGGTAAGGGTGCGCAGACGGGGCGGGAGTATCGTGCCGCGCTGGCGATGCATCGGCGATGCGTCGGCACTGAGAGGCCGAAGGGTCAGAAGAGCACATCGTCGCATGTCCCCGGGGGGCCGACCACCTCGCCGCGCGGGCCTCGCGGCCCTGGTGCCTCGCGGTGCCCCCCCGCGGCCGAGGAGTTCATGATCGCGCCCGTGGGCGCCAAGTCGTTCAAGGAGGCCCTGCAGATTGGGTCGGAGGCCCCCCCCCCCCCGCCGCCGAGTGCCGAGGCTCGAGGCCTGGAGGCACCTGGGCGTTGTCTCCACTCGCGGCGAAAGTATCCGCAGCACAGGTGTCGCAACACGCGTGCAGAACATGTGGTTTGAACTCCCCCCCCCAACTGCAATGTCGGTTTCGGATCCTCCGATTTTGGGCCTCCTAGTCGTCTTCAAGGAACGCGGCAACTTTGAATTGCGGGGGAGGGGAGGAGTGTTGCTTACTCTCTTGCCTCAACCGTATCCACGCCCTCGCGGTCTGGGTTCCAGGGCTCGATTCCGTGAATGCGCGGTCGCATGGAGGCGTTACGCGCGGGGCATCCGCGTCTAGGAAGTCCCATATTTGCATGGTCGCGGCCCAGGGGCCTGGCCCTTTGAGGCCGTGGATGCGGGTGTGTTCTCCGCCCACGACTCCTGGCTCTCCCAGAGGATCGGAAACCTCCATTCTCAAGGTTGTTGATCGTCCATCATGGAAGGCATGTAGGAACCTCCAGCATGAAAGGAACAAGCCTCCAGAAAGGAGGTCGATACTCCAATCTGAAGTACTGAAATCCTTTGGGCTACTCCCGCGCCTTCCGCAGATTGCCTTTGTCAAGTCCCGGGCCTTCCTCCTCGCCTCCAGCGCTCCTCTTGGCGGCCGTCTGCGGGCCCCCTGGTGACCGCCATATATTGATCCGGAGCAGAAGGCTGCCCCCAGGGGAGGGATCGTCGGATGGGGCTAGGACGACGAGGAATCCGTTCCAGGGCGTTCCGTAGCGCTCTCAGAGCGTTCCGGAGCGCTCTCAGAGCGTTCCCGAACGCTCTGCGAAGGCCGCGGCGCCCGAGGCATCCTCCAGAGCCGCGGTATCTCGGAGATTCTCGAGTCATCTTCGCCCCAGGTTATCCTAGTCTTAAGTCGGGCCTGTCCCTCTACAGGAGGAATATTCAAAAATACCTAGACGACCGCCCTGCGGGCGATAAGGAGGTTGGGGGGGGATTGAGATCAAATGCCCACCCAGACTGACCTCCAGCCTTTCACCTTGATCTCATCTCTCTCTTTCTCTCTGTCTCTCTCTCTCTCTGTCTCTCTCTCTCTCTCTTTCGGATGGATTGGATGGGATAAGATGACTTGGATAATACTGATTTGATAAGATAAGATGGGTTCGATTCGAGAAGAGGTGGATTGGATAAGATCAGATGGATTGGATTTGCCCGCCGCAGGCGCAGAAACAAATTCATTGATGGATTGGGTTGGGTGGATGGGATTGGGTGGGATAAGATAAGATGGGACAAGATGGGTTGGATAAATATTATGGATTGGATCGGACAAGATGGATTGGATAATATAAGCTGGATTGGAAAAGAAAGCCCGCCGCAAGCGCCGACAAACATGAATTGATGGATTGGGTTGGGTGGTTGGGTGGATTGGATTCGATGGGATAAGATGGATTGGATAAGATAAGATGGGTTGGATTGGAAGAAATGGTTTGGATAAGATAAGATGGATTGGATTGGCCCGCCGCAGGCGCAGAAACAAATGAATTGATGGATTGGGTTGGGTGAATTGGATTGGGTGGGATAAGATAAGATGGGACAATATGGGTTTGATAAGATAATTTTGATTGGATAGGACAAGATGAATTGGGTAAGATAAGCTGAATTGGAATGGAAAGCCCGCCGCTAGCGCCGAAACAAATTAATTATGCAGTTAGCGACATGCGTTAGCGCCGGGACGCCCGGGACACCCGGGACACTCGGGACACCGCCCGGCCCATTTGGGACACCTCCCGGCCACCGGCGGACGGGAAGCGGACTTTCGCTCCTACTGACACCCGGGACACCCGGGACACCGCCCGGCCCAACTGGGACACCTCCCAGCCACCGGCGGACGGGAACGGACTTTCGCTCCTACTTCGGCTTAGCTACAGGAGGATCACGCGCAGCTTCGCCTCGCCCGCACGCACGACACGAACACGAAACCGAAACCGATTTCCCGGTGGGGGGTCTCCGTTTCATTGCGATCTCACCCCCCATCATTCCAGGGACGATTTTTCGACTATTTTGTCCATTTGGTCGTATTTTTGACTGTTCTTATTTTTCGTCCGAAATCGGCCGGTAGGGGGACAGGCCCGACCTAATCCTAGTCCTGGCTTCGTCTTGGGCCGAGACTTCTGCACCCGTGCCTCCTCGCGCCGTGAAGGGACTGCGCCGCCCCACGCGGACCCCCCCGGTTCTGCACAAGAGCCCTGGGGTGGGGGAGCCCCGGCGAGAGATGAGATCATTCGGAAGGCGTGGCCATGAGCACCGCTCAGATCCCAGGCGCTGGCCTTGACTGCGTAGGCCTGAATCTCAGCCGTGCCCTACTGTATCCCAACGGTTTGCGCCTTCTCCTCCTCCTCCTCCTCCTCCTCCTCCTCCGCCTTGATCTACGCTGTGCTCCTCCTTCAGCTCCTCCTCCTTCTCCTCCTCCTCCTCCTCCTCGTCCTCCTGCTTTTACGTTAGACCGACCTAATGCTTCCCTGTGGCGTTCGTGAAAAAAAGGTGTACTCGAATCGGCTCAGGAACAAGGGACCTGGCGGGCGCCGCGGGCAATGTGAGAAAGCGAGACCAGGAGAAGAATAGACAATTGAGTAGGCGCCCGCCAGCTCCGTGAAGACAGCACCATCCCTAGTCATGAAGCTCAAAACCTGAGAAGCAAGAAAGTTCGGTTGGTAGTGTCGTCTTACGTCTACAATTAGCCGCTGCCCTCGCCGAGGTTCTTGAACGAAAAGGTCTTGGGCACGAACGTTACGCAGGCTGAGGGCTGGCCCAGTCTATACTGGCTGTCCTGGGCGGCGTTTGCATTAAACAAAAAGGACGCGGAGGATACGATAGCTACCATGTTCGTATCTTCCCCTATACCCGTCTAGCCGTATAGCCGTTAACCGCTGCCCTCGCCGAGGGTCTTGAATCGAAAGGGTTTGGGGCACCAATGTTATGCAGGCTGAAGGCTGGCTCAGTTCATTACTGGCTGGCCTGAAGCGCTTGCATTGAACAACAAAAGCAGCAGGATACGATAGCTAACCATGTTCGCATCTCCCCCCTCCAACTCCTCTCCTCCACCTCACCTCCATACCCGTCTACTGTTAACCGCTGCCCTCGCCGAGGGTCTTGAACCGAAAAGGTCTTGGGCACTAATATTATGCAGGCTGAAGGCTGGCTCGGTCTATACTGGCTGGCCTGGGCGGCGTTTGCATTAAGCAAACAGGAAGCGGCAGGATACGATAGCTACCACGTTCGTATCTTCCTCCAACCCAACCTCTCAACACAAAGCCTCCCCCCGCCTCCCCTAAGTTAAGGGCCCTCCTCGGGAGCAGTACGCGATTAGTAGTGGTGCTGTCTGCATGCGGCTGCAACTGTGAGTAATGACATTCTGATTTGCCACCGCCCGCACGGACAAATCACATTCCCGCCTGCGCGAGTGTATCTTCTTTGCAATGCCTTCAAGGTGTGAGCCTGGAGTCAATGGGGTACGCGAGCGTGTGGGACTCATGAGGTATACTGGCCACACGCTTGCTACGCAGGCAGGCTCTGAGCTGCCGCCGCACGCAAGAGAGAAACACGTGCCTGCTTCCAGGAGTGCAACATCTTCTCCACCACCTCCCCCCACCATCCATAAGGACCCTCCTCCATCTCTCACCACGTAGCAATGGTGGGCGTATGCTGCCATACTCGCACAGTGTGCGACTGTAAGAGGAGGGCAGCTGAGATGAGGACGATAGATGCAATGAAGCAAAGCAAACATCGGATACTTGGACAGAGAGAGGGCGTCTTGCCCAGCCCTTCAGCAAGCAGCAGCGATCCAGGAGAAGGAAGGGGGAGCAGGCGCCGTGCCGAGCCAGAGCCACAGCGAAGCACGTGCGCCTGGTATCCGCACGCGGATACTAGGCCCCACGTACCCCCCCCTTGCCACTGGCAGGGAACAGCACCTGAGGGGGGGAGGAGAGGCCGATGGCCCAGCGGAGCGGGCAAGGCGGAGCGGGCAGGGACGAACGACGGCAAGACGGGCCAGGACAGGGTAAGTGATGGGTAGGCCATGGTGAAGAGATAACCGGCACCACTCAAGCTGTATCAAATGGAGGTCAAGAGAACATACTATTCGCGATACCGCCGTGATGTGGCTAGGTCACTGCTGTCATTCTCATAGCGCGTTTGTGCTCAAAATCCGACTCGTCCGCACATAAATCCTGAATGTGCTGCTGAACAGGGATCCCGTTCGCAACCTGAAAGGACACGAGCGTATCGTAGACGCGCCCAATCGCAAACACATCTATGTAGCCATTCCAAGCGGCGGCCGTGAAGAATGCGTCACGGACAACGGAAGGAGTCTGGCCGTGCGTGGCACCACGCTCGACTCCGTTCGTATCTGTGTGTTTCCGAAATCTGGGCGAATTCGCAAAGTGTGAGACTGTCGCTTGACTTTGCGCCGTTGTGCCGTCACCAAATGTAGAATTGCGTTCTGAACACGACTCTCCGTCTTCCCATCGTGGTGCACGATTTTGGCGTTGTGGGCTTCCGAGGATGTCGACGACAGCGCTTCGGGGCCTCACCTTCCCTTGAAACGACATGAGGTCCAGAATCGTATGTTACCGCATTGCTTGTTTGAACGAGTTTGGCCATGTGGGTTCCCGAGGATGTCGACAACAGCGCCTCGGGGCCTTCACCTTCCTTTGAAACGGTAAGAGATGCCGAAACGTATGTTACCATATTGCTTGCTTGTTGTACGAGTTTGGCGATGTGGGTTTTCGATGATGTCGGCGACAGCGCCTCGGGGCCTCCACCTTCCCTTGGATCGACAGGTGCCGAATCGTATGTTACAATATGGTCGGCTTGTTGTAGTACCTTTGCGTTGTGGGTTTCCGAGGATGTTGGAGACAGCGCCTCGGGGCCTCCACTTTCCCGTACAAATGCAGTCGTTCCCGATGGCATTGGGCGTTCAGCTGCACGTGTCTCTTTGTCAACTGAATTGTCAGCTGTGTCATCAATTCGCGGGATTTACAATGGTGGAGGCGGACAAAACGCCGTAGAGACAGGTGGCCGCAGTGGAAGAGGGAGCTGCAAAAACAGATGCGGGCACGTGGGGCACGATTTCTGGCGCGTGCTTATTTAAGAAATGAGTGATGTCCAATTGTGTTGGTGCAAGTGACACGCCGATCCTTACCGCCACAGTTCGCCTTGAGATCAACAGTGCGTTTGGAAAGTAGGCTTACGTCTTTGAGGCCAAGATGCATGCGACGAGTACGAGCTGCATATCAATTTCGGTTGAATGCTTTTCCCAATTCGTTATTATGTGCGCTCCTGCATGTTACAGTATCGGAGATGCCATTCGGAGAGTGAATGCCATAGGAAACAGGAGGGGTACCAGTAGCCATCGCCAGGCCTCGACAAAGTCGGTTCGATCTCGGTAGCGCGGGCGCCTACCTGAGGGCGCTGTGGGCGCCACGCTGCCACTGACAAGCCAGAAAGGCTTGGCGGTCAGTGGCTTCCTCCTCCTCCTCGTCCGCCTCCTCTTCGTGCACCCCCGGGAGGAGGAGGAGGAGGAGGAGGAGGAGGAGGAGGAGGAGGAGGAGGAGAGGGAGAAGAGGAGAAGAGGAGGAGGAGGAGGAGGAGAAGGAGGAGGAGGAGGAGGAGCAGTAGGAGGAGGAGGAGGAGGAAAAGAAGGACAACCGCGATTGCAGGCTCCACTGGCAGCGGCGGCGGCGGCGGTGGCGTTCTGGCTCGCCCCGTGAGCCGCGGCCGCGCCCTCGCCGCAGGTTTACCATTCGCTCAAAGGCGTGATCGTCAAGAAGTACGGCAAGGACGCGGCCGCCGTGGGCGACGAGGGCGGCTTCGCACCGAACATCCAGGACTGGTTCTGGGAGCGCAGGTGAGGGGGGGGATGATCAGAGAATGAGGAGATGTACCGATGCCGCTGCTCGTCCTAGAGTGCCCAAATGGCCAGGCTGGATTCTTCCCGAGTTGTTGGTCAGAACGCACCCCCAGGAGAGGTCTGGGGAGTAGCGGTATCGGGGCTTCCCTTTGTTACTCCCGGATGATGAGGTGATTCCGTCATATTCCGTCTCAATCCGAGCCTCGAGGTTTCCGAGGTCCTTTCGGGTGCGTTCGGCCCCTTGCTTGGCCTCTGGAGGCCTCTGGAGGCCTGCGGAGGGCCTCCAGATGCTGAGGATCATTTACGGGAGGCGGAGGCGCGGCGGGGGAGGGAGGGGCGGCGGGAGTGGCAAAGGGAAAGGGAGGGGCGGAAGGTTGTGCTTGCTGTCCGAGCTGTGCCTGCGCGCGGGTGTCGTCACTCGCCTCGCCCTCTGCTCGCTGGGCTCCCGCGCAGCACACCTGGTGCCTTGGCGCCAGGGCGCCAAGGGTTCCAGCACCCTGCGGCCGCATCTGCGCGCGGGGGGGTAGCTGCTCGACGGCGGCGGCGCTCGGGGAGGCGAGCGCGGGGAACGCGAAGGTTTCGGGCTCCTGCGGGGCCCCAGATCAGGCCGAACCCGGCGCGGTTGGCCCAGAACTCCGGCCCCAGCAGCAGCGCCCACCTGAAGCGGCGGCCATGGTGGTGGCAGCCGTCCAGGGGCGAAGAGGAGCAGCCAGCACGAGATGTCCTTGCAGCGAAGCGGCCCCGCGGGGTGAGCGCAACGCTTAGGGCGTCTGGCAGGTAATGCGCCCCAGGAGTGCAACACATTCACGCAATGATGCGTTCCTGCATACCTGCGCACCTGCAGCAACTCATGCAAATACTGTGCAATCACGAGCTGCATGGGCAACGATGCTCGGCTCAGTTTTTTCATCACACTTGAGCCGAGCATCGTTATCACTGCGGCTCCTGGTCCCTTTCCAGCCTTGTCCAGGCGGCGTGGGCCCCCGAAGATCGCTCGACAGCCTCTTCCCGTGAGGCCCGAGACTCCAGATCCTTCGTGCAGAGACGGCCGCTGGGAGCGGGCCCCCCTGGCAAAGCCCAACTCAGCTTGAAACTCAAGTCGACCCTGGGATGCCTGGCAGTCTGAAGGCGCCCTTGCATCCTTCTTCTGTTCGCAGTTCTCGGCTTTGGCTGCTGCAGCCTCCCTTCCGCAACGGTCGGGCATCCCGGCGGGGCCTTCTCAGTCGATCGCCCTCTGGCTGCAATGGCAACGAAGAGGGACCAAGCTGCTTTCGGAATGGGCTCAGAGCTCCTCAGGTCCTTTCTTGCGTTTTGCCTTCGGCGTGCCTTGCAAGTCGAGGCGCAAGTGGGGCCGAAAAGGGTCTACGCTCCCTGAGACGTTCCCTTATGGTAAGACTTTCGGCTGTGTTCTTGCCCGCAGCGGCCCCAGCACTCCGTCGAGCGCCGGGCCCAGCCCTACGACAGGCCAGCCACAACTCGGGGAGCTGTGGTCCGTACCCCCCTGGGGGGAACATCGATTTCGCCACCCCTCTCGAGAGATCGTTCCTGCGATGGGTTCCCCAGAGGGGGTAAGGACCACAGCTCCCCCAGTTATGGCTGGTCGGTACGACTGATTGTTTTTCGATCCGCGGGCCCCCAGGGGTCTCGACCCCTCCCCGGGAGCAGTTTTTTCATCCCGGGTAGCTTTTTGTAGCACTGGGGGCCGAACAAGGTTCTCAGAGGCCAGGATCGAGAGATTTCTCAGGGACGCGTCCAGCCCATCTCTAACATTAAATTGGGCTTGTCCCACTACAGGAGGAATATTTCGAAACTTATCACAACATAATATGGTGACGATTTGTTTGACTACTTTTGATCATGTTTGGGTATTGCTTGACTAGTTTTTACGTTTCGTCCAACATCCGCCTGTAGGAGGACATGCCCGACCCAACTCTAACACGTGGCAACATCAACAGTCTCATCCGATGCAAACGATGATGCGAAAGGGACCGCGATCCTGTGTGCGGACTATATAGGAGGCCGTCGCGCTGAACGCTCCATGAGACCAGCGTGAGGGATGGATATCGACCGTGACGAAGAGGCGGAATGAGCACACTAAAAGATGGGCGAAGAAGACGGGCAGATAATGGTGATACGATGGTAGATGGATTTTCCGTCACATCGCTGACACAGGAACGCTTCATGATGGCCATGTCTTTCTTGCAGGGCACGCACGCCCCGGTCTCGGTGTTAGGCATGCGAGGGGGAGCTGCCAGCTCCTCTGGCGGTTCCAGCGCTGGCTCATTGGCCATGCTGCGGGACCCAAGCGAGGCCGAGCTCGCGAGCCAGCCTCCCCGACCTGTTTCCGACACTTGTCCGTTCGGGCTCTGAAAGTTCGCAGGCGCGCCGCCATGTCCGCGGGTGGCCCGAGGGAGAGGAGCTGCCTCCCTGGGTGCGGGATCGTATGGCGTACACATGAGTCCGCAGCCTGTCCATGCCGTCTCCTGTGGCCAGCGTCAGCGACGACCCCGTCGCGCATGGTCTGGCCCTGGGAGGCCGTTAGAGTCAGGACCATTCGTGGAGAGAGATTTGTGTTTGGATCCGGACAGGACCGCGCTCCGCTGGACCCCCCATAAGCTCACGATGCGAGGCATCAGCGAACAAGACGCGAAGGAAAAAAAAGGAGGCGGCGAGAAAACCAGGGGCGGCAGATGGCAGCGAGGAGGAGGAGGAGGAGGAGCAGAGGAAAGTATAAGGCAGGAAGAAGGAGGAGGCGAGAGGAGGAAGGAGGAAGGAACAGCAGCGCTCCATTCAAAATGAAGGCCCAACCGGAGGAAGGGTTGGCTCAAACATATTACGTCCTCTAGACGTGCGGACTCCCAGAGGTCCTGGGAGGTGGAGGTCCCCAACAGGCTGCTGGAGGTCCGCATCACTTGTCAAAAAAGGTCCAACTCTTCGGACCCCCTCGAACCATTCGATCCTCGATCTTGCCCCTTCGTGCCTTCTTGCCCGGCGCCCAGGACAACGACGAAGGGCTGCAGGCACTGATGGAGGCCATCCAGGACCGTCGGGCCTCGCTCTCTCCCTCGCTCCTCGCCCGATGTCCTCGCTCCCTCCTCCCTCGCTCCCTTCTTCCTGCTTGACTTTGCCTTCCTCCTTCCTTTCCTCTCCCGTCTCCCTCCTCAGCCCTCCCTTCCTCCCTTCCTCCCTTCCCTCTTCCTTCCTCCTCGTCCCTCGTTCATCTCTCCTCCCTTCTCTCCACGGGCCGATCACGGGACCTCACATACCAGTAGCGTCCCACAACTCACCGAGCGTCAAGAACCATCAGGCTACGACGAAGATTTGGACGAAGATTGGGAACAATGGTTAGAACGGATAAAAAGCAACCAAGCGACCAGGAGTTAGTTCTCCGATCTAGTCAACGCCTGTCCCCGCAGACTCGGAGCGGAGCACCAGAGGATCGTGGACATTGTGACGGACCTTGAAAATTCGGTGGCCAGTGTGGCCACCAGCCAAGCGACACTGGCCCCGCAATGCCACCAGTTAGATGGATCGGCTCTGTCCACGCAGAACAAAACAGCCTGAGCACAGACCTGAGGGCCTTCCTGTAAAGGAGCCGAGCTGCGAAGCCCGTGCCAGGAATTCAGTGTGAACCTCCGACGCCAGCAGGAGCACCAGCGATCGCGGCAACGGCCGAGGATCCCTGGAACTCCATGGTCATCTACCCTGCCGTTACTTGGGAAGGGGTAGCCGCCACCAAAGGACCCTAGACAATCACCAGTGTGGATTTCAGCGTGAACCTAAGCAGGGCCAGAGACACCCGCGACTCTGCAGCTCGCTAGGTCCACCAGGGCCGAAGCGCTGTCCAACATAACAGGCCCAGTTCGGGCATCCGCCCCTCGGTGTACCCAGGAAGGTACCGAGGTAACCGTCACCAGCCAGGTTAATCATCCCATCAACGGCCAACGCGGCGTCGTCATTGGACGCACGGGGGGGGATCAGAAAGAACCAGTATCGGGTGGTCCAGGTGACCAGCGGCAGCACCGCCGCCCTGTTCACGTCGAGACTGACTCCTTGCTCCCACCATCAGTCTGAGAGCGGTAATAGCTCCCCACCGGCAGTGCCCAGGCCAGCTGAGACGTCAAAACCGCCGACGGTGAAAGCAGCGGCCGAGGCGTCAGTCCCGCCAGCGCAAGCGCGGAAATTTGTGTCAGGGCCCGAGCGCGAACCCCCGATAACCAGCAGGAGAACCAGCGACCGCGGCACCGACAGGGCTCACAGACTCCTTGAAGCTCAGCTCGCGGCAGCGGAAGCGCCTTCGCAGTCTCCGCGAGCACCGATGCGGACGGCAAGGCCCCGACGGGTCAGACCTGCCCGTTCATCGCAGAGGGCAAAGCCGAGGACGCCCCGCGCGAGCTCATCGGCACGTCCCCTCGTGAGCCTTTCACCGTGAGAGCGGCTGGGAAAGGTGCCACAGACGCTCCGCACAGTGAGGGCGATGCTCGTGCGGACGGGACGCGCGTACATCTCGACCACAATTCTCCCCTTTGTGAAGTTGCGAAAGGGGTGCTAGGATCGCCCATCAACCTGGGATTGTTGTGCGGCATAATCCGTAAGGGCTTCGCCCCATGCCGCCGGCCCCCTGTCTCGGATAATGGGAGATGCAAAAGCTAAATCATGAGGTCTGGGCGCCGCCGTGAAGCAGTGTCGTGACTTGTTTGTTTTTTTGACCCTGACCCTACGGATCTGCGCCACGGGTGCCACTGAATATCAGAAATGTGGCAAATCCCTTATGTTTTTGGACCCTGACCTTTGAGATCTGCGTGAGGGGTCCCGCCGAATTTCAGACATGTGGCAAATCCGGTGTGTTTTTGGACTCTTACCCTACGGATCTGCGTGAGGGGTGCCACCGAAGTCCAGAAATGTGGCAAATCCCTTGTGTTTGTGGACCCTGACCCTGCCGATCTGCGTGAGGGGTGCCACCGAATTTACAAACATGTGGCAAATCTTCTGAGTTTTTGGGCCCTGACCCTGTCGATCCGCGTAGGGGTCCCGCCGAATTTCAGAAATGTTGAGTGTCCCCTAGGTTTTCGGACCCTGATCCCGCCGATCTGCGCGAGGGGTGCCATCGAATTTCAGAAATGTGGCAAATCCTGTGTGTTTTAGGACCCTGACCCCGCCGATCTGCGTGAGGGGTGCCAGCGAATTTTAGAAATGTGGCAACTCCCTTGTGTTTTTGGACCCTGACCCCGCCGATCTGCATGAGGGGTGCCACCGAATTTTAGAAATGTGGCAAATCCTTTGTTTTTGTTGGACCCTGACCCCGCCGATCTGTGTGAGGGGTGCCAGCGAATTGTAGAAATGTGGCAAATCCTGTGTTTTTGCATCCTGACCCCGCCGATCTGCGTGAGGGGTGCCACCGAATTTCAGAAATGTCCGTTTGGGCCTCTCCCCCCTCGCGCGGTCCATCAACCAGGAACAGTAAGCAGCAAGAAGCAGAACTGTAACAGTGGAAACTGGAAGCTGCAACTGGTACAGGAAACTGCGAACCTTCGCCCTACAGCCTGGTGGCCCCACACGGGGGCCGGCGGATTTTGCCTTTCCTGCCGTCGTGGGGCGACTTGCGGTCTTAGCTTTCCTCGTCTCGTGCATTTCAAACCACTGGACCACATGTCTCGGAGCTCCACGCAAGTGCGTAAATACAAAAGCCTTGTTAGTGCGGGCATGCGCCTTGTCCTTGTCCTTCTCGTCCAAATGGTCGTGGCCAGCTCACCAGGGCTCGTGCCCGCTGCAGCACCGGGTACCTGAGACCGCCCTGCGCGGCGGAGGCGAGCACGATTGAGTCGAGCAGCAGCTCAACCCAGACGCCCACGGCTGGGACGGGGACTGCATCGAGTATCACGCTGCTGCCCACCACGACCGAGACAAGCCCCACCAGGCACATCCCCAGAGAGGGCCTGTCGGATATTCCTGGAAGCCTCCCGGGGAATATTTTCAGAGAGGCCGTTGTGCACAGCACTTCCCAGGGTGCTGTCTCGAGCAATGCGTCCCTGACCACAGCAGCACGCCACGTCGGCGAGCACCGGCTCGACTATCGTGCGCCAGCGGGACGAGCACTGCCTTGAGTACTACGTGGCTGAGCTTCATGACGGGCACCAACTCTTCGACGGCGAGCACCAGCTCGACCCTGGCGACCACGAGTGGGGCGAGTACCGCCTCGGGTACTGCTTCGAGTACCGTCTCGAGTGATGGCCCCGTTGGGCCTCGCGTCTGGAGGGCCGTCCGCTGGTCTGGTTGGTCTGGCTGGTCTGGTTGGTCTGGGCCCCCTGGCCTTCTCGGCTTCCCGTCTGAACCCTTTTATTTTCCCGGCAGCGGCATGCCAGAGAGCAGCTGCTCGATTCTGATATCAACCAGTCGGACGCGCGCGGCCGCGAGCACCACCTCGCTGACCGCCGCGGCGGGCACCAGCAGCGCATCGCTGAACAGCGCGACTGGGCGCACCAGTAGAGCTACAGCATTAATTGCTCTGCGAAATATTTATGTGGCCAGCGCGGATTGGTTGGGCCGTACCCAAGCTTTGACGGCAGGAAATCTGGACGCGCTGCCGGCATTCCCGATTTTCTTTGGTTTGATGATCGGTCTTTTACTCCGAGATTTGAAGCTCTTGGGGATGGGCTTCGAACTGTGCGAATCAGGCGAGCGTCGTTGCGACATCATATGGGCCGATAGCTGCATGCTCCTTGCAGGGGGCGTCGCGGAAGCAGATGCCGTGATTGAAGCGCTTGCGACGGCTCTTCGAGAGCGGCCCGGGTGCGGGTGGTCGCGGGAACCATTTTCACGCGAAATGGCGGGTACCAGCATTGACCTTTATTGAGAACCCCGGTTGCATTGCGCGGTGGTGGCCCTGCGAAATATGAGGTACGTCAGAAAGTGGTTAGTCTGGGAGTCTATTTCGTGCTGGCGCAGTTGACGAGAGGATTGGTCGAGTATCAGCTTGGTAAAGGTGACACCGCTGTATTGCCTTGGCGTGCCTGGTGTTCTCTGCGATAGGTCGGGAGGAAGGGCGCCGATGCAGCACGTCCGTCTGCTGACATTTGTGCTCAAGCTTCAAGGGCGTCCGAAATGCCAGGGCTTCGCAGGCTTCTCGCCCGAGTTGCTCTGTTTTTCAGCACCGCCTCTCAGACCCTCGTGGCATATTGGTATCGATCCCACCCGTGCCCCGCGGTGCCGGCTTGTCCCAGCTGCCCTGGTTTGAGCTGCCCAGCGTGTCCGACAGGCATCGCCTGCCCGCAGTGCCCGACTCTGCACTGCCCGACGCCGACTTGCCCCTTGCAGGCCGGCGCGAGCGCCGGCGGAGGCGAGCCGCCGCTCCCGGTCGGAGCGCCAGCGGGGCCGCCTCCACCGCCGCCTCAGGTGGCGGGCCCACCTCCAGCGGCCCGCGGGGCGCCCACGCCGGGGCCGGCGCAGGGCGAGTCAGCGGCGGACGCGGCGTCGGCGCCCACGGGCTGGGGCGAGGGGCTCTTCGACCTGGTGACGCTCGGGATTCACTTCCTTTTCGTCATAGTGCAGGTGTTGTGGTCCATCTTCAGCCGTGGTGCTCGCCGTGTCGTTGGGAGGCTGAGCGAGCCGAAGTCTCCTGCTGCTCTCGAGAATGGTCGTGCCGCCATCGCACGTCAAGGAGTGGGCGTGGGTGTTATACGCCGGCGGGCCACGCTGGCACCAGCGGAGGATCTGGGGACAGCTAGCGCCTCCACAGGCGGGTCAGAGTGACGTTGACTTCTACTTGATCAGCACGCCTGATCACGATGTGTACGAGGAGGACTACAGCCGCAGCAGCCCGGACGTGCTGGCCGTACGCTTCACCGACAGTCGTCGCGAGCTGGCGGGTCTGGAGCCCAACCAGGTGTACAGGTTCGGTCGGGCGCTCACGCCCGCCCAGACCGCCGCCATCCGCGCTGCCCTGGACCACGTCGGGGATGAGACCTACCTGGCCCGGGAGAGGGCTGCGGGCCGCGCCGGGGTGCTGCCTGCCTCCGGGTCGTGGGAGGCCTTCGACTTCACGTTGGCCGCAGCGCCTGGGTGTGGGGCAGTGGTCGCCGCCGGCGGCCCCGGCGCGGGGGACGGAGCCCTCGCGTCGGCGGGCCTTGCCGGAGTGGCGCCTGCCCGTGGCCCGGGCCTTGGCGGGGCCCTCGGCGCGAGGCCGCTGGCTGCCGCCGCGCCTGCGCCGCCCGCTGGAGCCGCCCCCGCCGCAGGCTTGCCGGGAGCTGACGGCGTGGCCGCCCTGTTCGCACCGCCGGTGACGCCCGAGTGGGTCATGGTGGAGACCACCGCAGCGGGCAAGCGTGGCACGGTCGTGCGGCTGAACGGCTCAGAGCAGCTCGGCGGGGATGTAGGCATCATGAGGGTGGCCGAGGGTTGGATCTGCATCCGTCAGGTGTCGATCAACCTTTCACTGTATGCGAGTGCAGAGTCTGGCCACGACTGTCGTCTCCTCGGGCTCCCTCTTCAAGTCGACGGGTGCCGTGAGCGCCTGCAGTTTCGAGATGCGGTCGCTCACTTCACCGAGTCGGGCCTGGTGGGGTGGCCTCTTGAGGGCCCTCGGACCGTGGGTTGGTGCTGCGTGTTCATCGACCGCCGTCGCGGGGGGCCGCTAGAGCACTTCAACCAGTTCAAGAGCTACTGCCACCTGACCAACGTCGACTACGGTGTCACCCACTACGAGAGCATCATGCGCATGATCGAGTTCTTGGCCTGCTGGGATCACGTGAACCTCCCCGACCTAGTCGGGGTGGAGGTGGCGATGAGGCAGGCGCAGCTGTACGAGCACATATACCCGATGGAGTCCGAGGGCACAGTGGCCGGCACATCGGGCCTTGGGAAGGCGACGAAGACGGCGAGAATAACACGGGGGAGGCGGCCGCGGCCGCGCCCTGTCGCGGTTCGCCTTCCTCGACGAGGCCTCGATCTTCACGGGCGCGTCGAAGGGGGGCGGGCGGATGATGGTCTGCCCGACCTTGCTACATCATGTGGCAGCAATGGCGGAGAGGGACGCGGGCATCCTCAAGGCCTTACGGAAGGCGAAAGAGGAGCGCCGTGCCCTCTCCGGGTCATGAGCGCGCCGCCCGGCAGGGATTCCCCCGACCTGCCTGGGATCCAGCAGGGGGCGGCGCCGTGTCTTCCCGGCGGCGCCGATGCTGTGCATGGGGATCTCTGTCCTGCTCCCCGAGATGGTCGCCAGCGCGACATTTCCCCGATTCCTCCGCGCCCTTCCTCACGCCTATCTCCGACTACTATCCAGAGCCTTACGACCCATACTCGGACTGCTGAGCGACGGCTTCGTCGTCGCCGACACCGAGACAGCGCTGTGGACGAGCTAACCGGCGCCCTCAATGAGATGTACCTCGGATCGGAGAGCTCAGCCGACCTACCGCGGCGGAGTTCTGACCAGCCACCGCTCGCAGTCCACGCTGAGGTCTACCAGGAGCTCCAGGCCGCCGTGAAGCGGTTCGGTGAGCCTCCTGAGGACCTCGACGGCCCGGGAGCCCTTGCGGAGCTCCGGGTGTCGCATGCGTACCAAGGGGAGGCCTTGGCGCTTGCCCCGGTCGGCTTCGACAGCGTCGACCGCATCTCTCTGCCCGCCGCCTCGACGTCTCCGAAGTCGCTTGAGGCCTTGGCGGGCGATGTGGGCCGGAAGATTGCCGACCGTCTTCGTGATTTGGAACTTCCCCGAGAGCTGGGGTTGGAGCGCGCGAGAACCGAGGGGCCACGCCGTTTGTATGTGGATCCCAACCTTCGTAACCCCAAGCTGTGCAAGCGGGTGCTGCAGCGACTGGTGGACGCCAATTTGATCAGCTTCCACTCGTCGTGCGAGTGCTCGGTCGGGCTTTTCTTCGTGCACAAGAAATCAGGCGACCTCCGGATGATTCTGGATGGGCGCTTTGCTTCTCTTCGGTTTGGCACTGCTGATAAAGTCGAGCTCGCTTCGGGCGCGGCGTTTAGTCAGATTACTGTGGATGGGGGCGCTCCCATCGCCGTGGCAGGCGTGCACATTGCAGATGCCTTTTACAACATCCTGCCCCCCGCCTGGTTGCATTTTTTTTTTCGGTCTTCCGCCCGTTCGAGCAGGTGACTTCAACATCGATCGTCCTGCATGTGGGACCCCCGTCAGACCTCAGCAGAAAGTTATTCCGTGTTTCCGATGCCCTCCGATGGGGTGGGGCGTGAGTTTGTGAATCTGCCAGACCATCAACGAAGCGATCAGTTCCCGAGTTCCTGGAGTTAGCACCCATCACCTCTTGGTGGACCGTAGGCCCGCTCCAGATCTCAGGAAGGGGCACATTCACACGGGATATGTGGACAACTTTGTCTCTCTTGCGCGCGCGCGTCTGGAGGCAGGAGATGTAGCTAGAGGTCTGCCCACGCATCCGGTGGAGGAAGGGTTGGGCGGTCAGACTCCGGGCTGGGAGTTCGGGGACACGAACGCGATCATCGGTTTGAATCCTCGGCTTCGTCGGAGGCTCCGCCTAGGCATACAACATCTCTTGGATCAGGGCAAGTGTTCTGGATATACCCTCAGAAAGGTTGTTTCACACTTTACTTCTCGTGGTCTTATTCGACGGGAATTGCTTAGCGTACTCGGGGCTGTGTACACCTTCATAGATACTGTAGGGCCCCGTGCTGTTCCCCTTTGGGCAGCGGTTCGTCGTGAACTTCGGTGGGGCAAGGCGCTGATGGTGCTATGCTACAGAAATGCGGGACGTCCTGTCAGCAGTGCTATATCGTGTGTGGACGCTTCGTGGGGGGGGGTCGGCATCGCCGAAAAGGTCGTGGAGCAGAGTGTCGCAGTCGAGCTGTCATCGTATAACGAGCGGTGGAGGTGCGGGAAGGACTCGGAGAAATCGGTCGCGCCTCGGAAGTTCGAGGTCGAGGATCGTGGGGCCCGTGAAGGTCACCCTGGAGCCCCTGGCGCCCTGCACGGCACCGTCGAGGTGTTCCCGAGGCCCCCGGGGGCCGAGTTCAAGAGCGCCCCGAGGGATGTCTGGGGCGGGGCCTGGAAGCGGGTCCTGTCTAGGCCCTGGGGCCGTGAGGAAGCTCAGGTGATCCTCGAAGGCCGAGCTCTCGTGTGTTGTCTCCGACACCGTCTTCGAGCGGTGAGCAACTTCGGTAAGACCCACGTCATCCTGAATGACTCAATGGCCCCGCTGCTCGCTTTGCTCAAGGGGCGCTCCTCCTCCGCTCCGCTGCGGCGCATCTGCAGGCAGGTCGCGGCCCTCGCCCTCTGCAGTGGCTGCGGCGTGGCCTGGCGCTGGCTGCCGTCGGAGCACAACGGCGCTGACGCCGCCTCCCGGAACCGGCCAGGACTGGTCGCGGAGGCGGATCGTGGCGTTGCAGCCGATGTCAGAGGCTGCACCACTGCGCTTGGCTGCGGGAGGGGTCCCCCGAGTCCCTCGGGCCGCGGCCGCTGTGCGCCGCCGCCCGGCCTCGAGCCTCCGCCCGGGCTCAGCCGCGGGCCGCCTGGGCTCGGCGCGGGCCTCGACGGTGAAAGAGAGCGATCGCCGAGCTGTGCGTCGCTTGCAGAGGCGACAGCAGGTGGGTCGCGAGATTGTCCCGACTGTAGGCGAGACCGGGACCTTTCTGGAGACGGAGTCGGTGTCCGCGCCGACCCGGAGGGACTACCAGCGCCGGGCTCAGGCGTTCACGCGCTGGGCCCAGATGATGGCGCTGACGGTGTCGACTGCTGCGTCGCTGGACGCTGCCCTAGTCGTGTACTTCCACGAGCAGTACCTGGAGGGCGGCGAGAGCACCGACGCTTGGAAGCTGTTCGCGGCGCTGTCGTTTCAGGGCCTCGACCTGGGGCTAAAGCACTCGAGCTTGCCGAGGGCCGTGCGGGCGGCGAAAGGCTGGAAGCGCTTGGCTCCACCCCGGTCGAGACTGCCACTCCCTTGGGCGGCTTGCTGCCTCGTCATTCGCGCGCTGGTGGGCGCCGGCGAGTCGACGATCGCAGCCCTGACCGCGGTGGCGTTCGCGTTGTACCTGAGGCCGTCGGAGGCGCTGCTGCTGGCCACCGACAGCCTGGTCAAGCCGTCTGTGCTGCGCGGTGGGCCTCAAGGCGCGTGGAGCGTGACCCTCCACCCTCGCGAGAAGGGGATCTCGAGCAAGACGGGCGCGTGCGACGACTCCCTGCTGATCGACAGCCCCGCGTTCCCCTGGTTGTCCGGCCTGCTGCAGCGGCTGCTGGCGACCCGACCAGCGGGTCAGCCTCTGTTCGACGTGAGCTACAGCGAGTGGAACACGAAGTTTCAGGCGGCCACCCAAGCCGCAGGGCTGCAGACGCTGGGGCCGCTGACCCTTCACCAGCTGAGGCACGTCGGCGCGAGCCACGAGCTGCTGGTGAAAGCCCGCACCCAGGACGAGGTGAAGAAAAGAGGCAAGTGGGCCACCGACCAGGCCGTCAGGAGGTGCGCCAAGGGAGGCCGCGTCCAGGAACAGCTGAACGCCCTCCCAGCGGGGGCGCAGGCGCTGGCGCGCCGCGCGTTGGCCACAGTTGGCGACGTCCTCTGCGCCACCTGTCAGCCTTCGTCTCGGCCCAGGGCCGGCCCGTGATGCTAGAAGTCTTTTCTGGAAGTGGAAGGCTTTCCCACGCTTGGAGATTGTCCTTCAAAGGATCAGTTGCAGCATTCGAGTTTGACATAATTCACGATGCTAATGCAGATGCCCTCAGTCGCCGCGCGCAGCGGTTCATTCGAGGGTGGATATGAGGAAGACAGATATCCGCCGTGTGGATTGCGACGCCTTGCCAGTCTTTATCTAGAGCGAGAAACAGGCCAGGATGGCCGCCATCACTTCGTAATGCTGAGTTGCCCTTGGGCCTCCCTGATCGCTCGCCTGCTGATGCCCTAAAAGGTTAATAGAGGTAATGCCCTCTCTCGTTTCAGCTTTGGCTTGTTTTCTTTGTGCCTGACCCTGCGGGCCTCCGTGGTTATAGAGAACCCCGCGACCTCTTGGTTGTGGTCTCTGCCCGGGGCCCTTTCTGTGGCTCGCCTTGGGAATGTCCAGGACGTTGTAGTAGACCTCTGCGCTTTCGGGAAGCCCTGGCGTAAGCGGACCAGGCTTCGTTACTGTCATCTCGACCTCTCCAGGCTTGAAGAAGCCCAATGCAGGGGTCGTGGAACTTGTAGTTTCTCTCAGCGCCCCCACAATGTTTTAGAAGGTAAAGATCCGTCAGGGCGTTTCTGGACTCATATAGCGGAGCCCTACCCAGTAGGCATGTGTAGGCAGATCGTGCAAGCATATAAGCAAGATTTTCGAAACCAGGTATTTCTAACGTTATCCAGATATGTGGCCTGACGGCCAGTAGAGTGTTTCGCAAAGTTCATTTTATTGCTCGCTGTTTCGGTCGTGTGATCGTCGGAGGCCTCGACCCGTGAAGTCGGGGAGGAGGCCTCTCTGCACTTGGCTCCGGGCCAATATCACACAGACATGTATTATGGTCTGCCTCTGGTGTAACAAGAATATATGAGGGCTGGCGCCCGTGAGCCAGCCAAAGCATAGATTGCTCTGGCGTGCCTGGTGTTTTCTGCGATAGGTCGGGAGGAAGGGCGCCGATGCAGCACGTCCGTCTGCTGACACTTGTGCTCAAGCTTCCCACCCATCGCTCCTGTTCAGTCGCCCCAACCCTTTGAGCTGGAGCAGTGTGTACAATTGCACGGTCGTGTGATTGTCGGAGGCCTCGACCCGTAAAGTCGGGGAGGAGGCCTCTCTGCAGTTGGCTCCCGGCCAATATCACACAGACATGTATTCTGGTCTGCCTCTGGTGCAACAAGAATAGATGAGGGCTGGCGCCCGTGAGCCCGCCAAAACATAGACACAAGTATTTCAAAGTCTCGTCTGCGCCGGCCCCCGCCGGGAAGAGACCTTCAGCGCGGGCAGGGGGTCCTCGAGCCACTGCGCGTTATTGTCTCGCCGTTGCGTTTTGAAACATGACGTTGCTTCGCGCAATTCCCCGCTGGCGGCGGCGCCGCTTTGGGCGCGCCGTGAGAATGAATCGACAGCCCGACGAGGACTAACACGCTTAGAGGCCATTTCTTTATTGCTTGGGGCATGACGGGCGTCATGGCCCCCGCCCCCCCCCCCCTATGACGTAACGCCCCCCCCCCCCCCCAGTGCGCTCCGGGCACTGCCGCCGTGCGCATTGGGATCCGCGTAGGTGTCCGCGTAGGAATCCGCATACGTGTCTGGTCCGCAGGCGTCGTCGTTGTCATCGTCGTCGTCGTCGTCGTCTTCGTCGTCGTCGTCGTTCGTCGTCGTCGTTCGTGGTTCGTCGCTCGTCGCTCATCGTCGTCGTGCGCGCGGACGCGGCTGGAGCCTTTTTTTAACTCCGGGCCGGTGACGGCAATCATCTGGGGGGGAGGGGGTCGATGACGTCACGTTTCGCGCCGGCGGCGTTTGGGAATGGTTAGGAATGACGGAGGACGGGTAGCACGAACATGTAGGTGGCGATATGCACCACAACGCCTGTGTACATCACAGTGCCCGCGTGCACCACAGCGCCTGTGTACACCACACCGCCGATGTACACCACAGCAGCCGCGTGCAACACAGCGTCAGTTTGTGCCACCGTGCCTGCGGGCACAGCAGCTCCTGTGTACACCACAGAGCCTCCGTACACCACATCAGCCGTGCGCAACACAGCACCAGTGTACATCACAATGCCAGCGTGCATTTCAGTGCCTGTGTACGCCACGTTGCGTGTGTGCACCAAATCAGCCGTGTGCAACACAGCACCATTATTGTGTATAGAATTTCAGAAGGAATCCTTGTGACAAAATGGAGCGCGTGTGGATTCCAGAGAAAACAATGGAAAACAAATATTCATGGACAAAGGAGAGCCGCTGGAATCTACGAATCCCCCCGAGTCCGCCCGCATCACCCTAACTCCCACTTGCGTCCAGGAGGCTCCAGCTGAACTAGTCGTGTCCTCCCTTTTGTGAAGGCCAACTAGTCAGGGTTTAGTAGCCTGGCTCGACATATTCTGGCAAATACAGCTACCGTGCTTGAAGCCAGACACAGTGTCAAGAGGAAACTCACAGAGCGCTTTACACGTGGTGTTTTCCCTACGGCGGAAACAAAGGTGTCGTTCGTGTCAACGTCGGCCTGCCCCGCGTCACGCTGGAGACGGAACGGACCACGGGTGCCTGCAGCCCTTAAGGCAGGCGCGTCCCCGGGCAAGAGACACCCCACCATAATGGGCGCACTCGGCCCGTGGGGGTGGGCACATAATTCAAAGATGCTTGTGCCCTTGTTACAGTGTTTCGACAAGTTGTATTCGCTGTCGCATTCTCCATATTCCGTTCACTTGCTTGTACTTTGTTGCGTTGTTTCGATCATACTGTATTCAGTGTTGCAGAGGCGGCTGTCTCTCATCAAGCGATTTGGTCAATCATCAGGCAAACTTCTGGTTATCAGCCGAACGTCTCTCCAAGAGCTCGTCTTCGGCGGTGCAGCATTTTTCCCATCAGCCAGAGTAGTAGCAGTGGTCGCTTTACCAAAGAGGGGGCTTCGCACGTGCGCTCTGATTGTGGTGCCCGAGAACCGGGATACGAAGTCGGCTCCGCCGTCTTGTGCTCCAGTCAGTGCTGTGGTCACGGGTGCGGGGGGTCGGACATTCAAGGAAAAAGGGGGCACCTGCGGCCAAGCCGCCAGGTGCCGACGATGTCACGAAGGAGGGGGCAGTCGTTTCCTCCCATCTGTGAAGGCCAAATCGTCAGGGTTAATTAGCCTGGTTCGACATCTTCTGGCAAATACAGCTACCGTGCTTGAAGCCAGACACAGTGTCAAGAGGAAACTCACAGAGCGCTTTACACGTGGTGTTTTCCCTACGGCGGAAACAAAGGTGTCGTTCGTGTCAACGTCGGCCTGCCCCGCGTCACGCTGGAGACGGAACGGACCACGGGTGCCTGCAGCCCTTAAGGCAGGCGCGTCCCCGGGCAAGAGACACTTCACCATAATGGGTGCACTCGGCCCGTGGGGGTGGGCACATAATTCAAAGATGCTTGTGCCCTTGTTACAGTGTTTCGACAAGTTGTATTCGCTGTCACATTCTCCATATTCCATTCACTTGCTTGTACTTTGTTGCGTTGTTTCGAACATAGTGTATTCAGTGTTGCAATGGCGGTTGTCTCTCATCAAGCGATTTGGTCAATCATCAGGCAAACTTCTAAACTGGCCGTCCGAGAACCAAGAGGCCCGATTCACTCGACCATTCTGCGGTGCACGCTGAGATGCGCACGTGCGTTGTATCGCCAAGCCGCACGACAGGGGGTAAGAAGGAGGAAAAGGAGGACAAGGAGGAGGAGGAGGAGGAGGAGGAGGTGGAAGAGGAGGGGAAAGGGCAAAACGTCGCATTCGAATATCAGAACGTTCCTGGCGTGGCGTTTAGTTGTCCGCATCATATCCTGACGTACATGTTTTTTCTACCTGTCTTATGCACGTAGGCATTGTGGTGTACACCAGCGCTGCGTTGCACGCGGATGCTGTGGTGTAGACAGGCGCTGTGGCGTGCACAGGCGCTGCGGTGCACGCAAGCACTGTGGTGTACACAGGCGTTGTGTTGCATATGGTTGCTGCGGTGTATGTGCACCGGCGCTGTAGTGCTCCCAAGTATTGCGGTATACGCGAGCGGTGCGTTGCGAGCGTTGTGGTGTACACAGGCGCAATGGGCAGATCGCCACTTACATGCTGCTCGCGTCGTCGTCTCTCGTCGCTCGTCGCTCGTCGCTCGTCGCGTCGTGCGCGCGGGCGCGGCTGTGGTGCCAGAGCCACACGGCGGGGGGGGGCGTCACGTCATACCCCCCCCCGCCCTCCCCCCCCCATGACGCCCGTCATCGCCGAACATCAAGAAAAACTTCTTACTGAAAGATGACCGCGTTGCGCCACGAGCTTCGGATAGAGCGGTTTGGCGTAAATCATTTTCGCCGAGTAATCATGGAGGCGGTGTGCTCTTTGGCGTGGAAAGAACGCGCGTCGTCATTGCTCGTGTCAACAATCCCGATGGGATCGGCCACAAGCATGGTGGACACGCGTCAAACAAGGTGAGAGTTGGCAGCAGTTAGACATATCAGCGCACCATCGGCGACCAGGACCGCGCAAGGCTTGGGAAGGTGTATTCGCCAGCGCGCGGGGAGAACAATGGCAGGGCAGATTGGGCGCCAGCAAAGACCAGGCAGCGCGGGCGAAGGATCGCAGGAGCTTTGTGCAAGTCGCGCGTTCGCATTGGAAGCTTCCTTTCTCGGGGCAATCTGGCGCGCCGCCATGGTTGCAGCCGCCTGTTGCCGAGTGGGGGGGCAAGACGACGCTCCCGCATTTTACTTTTGAGGATTTGGTCTTGCCCCCGTTGTCCGACGAGGACCCGCCTGGGGAGCTGGGCGCCGGCCTGCCGCAGACGATGTTCGTGGTTGACAGCCAAGCTGTCGCCGACGTCATAAATTGTCTCAGCGCGCGCGGCACTCCAGTGTGCACAATGGCTTTCGAGCGCGCGATGAATCGGTTGGCGGCGTGTTTCGGCGAGGGCATGGCACCTCTGGCTGGTTGGCGCACTTTCGCCCAGTGGCGGCGGAGATCTTCCAGTGCCCCGGCGGACGCTGCCCCAGACCTCGCGCTGAAGCACAAAAACGGACGCGATGTATTTGGGCCAGCGATCCGCTGTAGAAGCTGTTGCTGGCAAAAGTTGTGCGTTGCAGTGATTTTCGGATGGAGGACGGGTTTTGGACGCTTGGCACAGGGGCGTTGCGGGCGCGGCTGAAATCTTCTTTGCTGGACGGAGCGCTTTTGAGGCTGTAGTCTCGGGACTTGATGCAGCGATCTCGCGGGCCGCGCAACTGAACATTTAAGAGATCACTGACGCGGGCCGATGGGCTGTCGGGACGCCCAACAATATTTATGTAGCGAAACAGTGCGTATTTCTCTCCCGAGTGCTCGCATCTCGACGTTGCGCGGCACGTCGCTGACCACCGCGACGGTTGCCGGCAGCGCATCGCTGAGCAGCGCGACCGGGAGCGCCGGCGCCCCGTCGTGCGCCGGCGTGATCGGCGCTGCCGCGAGCACTGCGCCGCGGAGTTGCATGACGGGCACTTGCACCTCGACGCCATGCGCCACGCTGGGGAGCACCAGCTCGCCCCCGAGCCCAAGAGTGGGTCGAACACTCCGTCGAGTACCATGTCGCTGACCACCGCGGCGAGCACAGCCCGCGCATCGGCGAGCAGCGCGATTGAGAGCAGCAATTCGACCCTGGCGACCAGGAGCGCGACGATTTCCACCTCGAGTTCTGCCCCGAGTCTTACTAGGTCCATGGCCCAGTACTTCACGACCGCATTGGCCCACTTGGGGTGGGAGTCGTGTATCGGCTTTTTGTCATTGGCCGCATTGGCCCACTGGAGGCGGGATGCGAGCTTGTCCATGTTTCTTCGACTTGCATTGGGCCGCTGGGGGTGGGATGCGAGCTCCGACCAGCACTGCGGGGAGCACCAGATTGATCCGGACGTGCATAGAGCACAGACCGCTTGGATCGTCCTTTGTTAGGCCCAGTCGCCCAGTCGCCCTGGGGCGTCTCCCTGGGCGAGCGACCAGGCGCGTCTAGTTGCTCACCAGAGCACGCCAGGGCTATCTTCACTTCTGTGGCGCTGCGTCTTTCGTAGCTCTCTTTTTTTGGGGCCGTTGCGGGGATGCTCCAAACCGGCACCGCACTTTGCGGGCGCCGAGGCGCGTATGCCAAAGCGTGCTAAAAGTTGGTACCTCTCTCTGTGCGGCGGCTCAGTGGCATGATCATCGCCGCCCACCCTTTTTCCCCCGTCGGCCCAGCCATTGACCGCGCCAGGGGGGAGGTTATCCCTCCACCCCCGTTACATGATTGGCGCCTCCCGCTATGCAGGGGAAGATTTGCCGGGCACGCGCGGCCTGGGAGCCTGGATGACCCTGCCGTCCGAACTCTTGCGATCTCCTACCGTGTTTGCTTCTCCATCCCACCCTCCTGCCTGAAGAGGAGGAGGAGGAGGAGGAGGAGGAGGAGGAGCAGGAGGAGGAGGAGGAGGAGGAGGAGGACGAGGACGAGGACGAGGAGGAGGAGATATCCTCCTCCCACCTATCCCTTCCCATGCCTTTCCCTTTCCCCTTCCGCTCTTTCCCCCTGGCCCGCTACCGTCGCGCGTCCTGCCCCGATCGGCAGGCCGCGCACCAGAGGTGACTCTCGCCTGGGGTCGTGCTCGCGCCCGTCGGAGTGCTGTCGAGCCTACGCCCGCGCGCCCTCGCGCCGCGGAACACGAAACGAGCCACGGCGGCACGTTTTCGGTGATCTTCGGCTTCTGGGGCCCCTCGCTAGGCCGCGGAACCCGCAAGGGCGGCTCGGGATGAGGCTCGCATGCTGCAGGCTATAGGCGCAGGCAGCCACTTCCGCTGCCTCTGGGGCGGCCTTCGGCGCGAGCGGGCGGGCAGGCTCGCGAACCCGCCGCGTGCTCCAGGCACGCGCCCCCTCTGGGCGCCGCCGACGTCGATTACGTACTCCCGCGCGCTCTCTTCTGGCTCCTGGCGCGCGAGCGGGGGAATCAGCCAAGTGGCGCGGCGCGTGTGTGGGCGGGCGGGTGCGCGTGCGCGGCCAGGCTTCCCCCCCCTCATTTTCTCGGCGGCTCCCCCGGTGAGACTTCGTGCAGAGAGTCCCCTGTGGCTGAGCCCTGCGCGCTCCTCTCGTGCCGCGGGAGAGCTCATCTGCGGCCGCCGCAGCGCCGCTTCGCCTGGAGGCGACCACATGGGCGAATAGCCCAGGGGCGGGCACTACGCGTATTCGCCCGGGAGCCACGCCGAAGGCATGGACCATTGGCGCCCCTGGATACATGTATTGCTCTCCCCTGGGCTATTCGCCCCCATCGTCGCCCCAGATTCGCCGCTCCCGCAAGCCTGCCCAAACCGCGTTGCTGCGCGCGCGGCCGCGACGCCAAAGAAGTGCGCGTCTGGGCGACGAGGGGGGAGCGGCACTGCGCGGGCCCATGACCCCGCCGTCGATTTTTGTCTCTTGGTCTTTTCAGTGCGCTGCCCCGCGGGGCTTGCCGAACCCCTCCCGGGGACTGACGTTTCGCTTCAGGTGCATCTTTGACAGTCCCTCGGGGGCTGGGATCGGCGAGAACGCTCCAGCATGATCGATGACTCAGGACGCGTGCTGGCCCATTGGCCCAATGCGTGCCTACCCCGTGGCAGCTCCACAGGCAGCACGCAGCCCGTGTCGGCCTTCCTTGCGTTGCCTGCGTCGCAGTGCGGGGATCTGTCGACATGATCTTTTCGAGATGCTGGTCGGCGGGGGCCGCTCGGCTCTCTCTCTCTCACACACACGCCGCCCCCCATCTGCGCGCCCTCCCCCCCGACGCTGCCCCTCGCAGAAGCTCGCCTCGGCCTGTGAGTCCACCCTCTCCCCTCCCTCGGCCTCGGTCTCTTCGCCGTGGGCCTGCTCCACTGCCCCCCCCCTCTTGCTGGACGCTCTCGTCGTTCTGTCTCAACGTGAGGGGGAGCCGCAGAGCAGGGCGCGTTAGTTCCCGCAGCCCAGGATGCTCTGCACGCACGCGCCCCATGTCACCCCGCCGCCCGAGGGGCCGTTCCGACCCCCTGCGCGCGTCGAAGTTCTCCCCGCCCCCCGCGCCCATCCCAACCCCCGCGCAATTGAGCCCCCCACTTCCATGGAGCCGTCAAGAGCGAACTGTGAGGAGAGGCCGTGCTTCCGCTCTCCTTCGACTCTCCTCGTCTCTCCCTCCCCCTCTTGTCTCTGTGCCTTTAGCTGCCCCCCCTGAGTTGGCATCCCCCCGGCGAAATTCTGCTCACGATGGCCGTGCCATCCCCTGGATGCCTCCTCCGTGTCCCCTCCGATGCGTTCAACGATGCAGGTGCTGAATTCGCGTGCTTCCTGCGTGGCCCACGAACCTTTTGACAGAGGCTCGGGTGAGCTACAGGAAGAGCGTCAAACCAGGATCTTGCAGTGCAGAGCTGATCTCCCTCTTCCGCCTCTGCAGCTTGCTCCGTGATGCCAGGACGCAGGGCATGCTGGCAAGGTGAAGCTTGCCATCGACGTGGCAGCTTCTGAGTTTTATGTCAGGAGACGCCGAGTGGGATTTGAGGGTTGGGACAATGACCATTGAAACACAATGATGGCGACCATGGTGAAGACAAGTCAGTATGTCGGGCATCCTGGGACATCGTGCCATTGCAGCGTACTATCACTCCCCACCCTCAAGTTGATGGCTTTGAATTCTCGACCCTAGTGCCATGGGGCTACTTTTCGTTCTGGACGAATTCGACTGGCGAAGAGCGCTGGCATTGAATCAATTTATCCTTCGGATGTCTGGGTTCTCGAAAAGGAGGAGCAGGAAGAAGAGGAAGATAACCAGTGTACACCGATGATGCGTCAACGATGTTTTAATCCACCCTCCCTCGAAATTCCTTTCTCATCGACTCCCATTGTCAATTATTCCCGTGGCGGGAAGTGGCCTATTGGAAGACGTCCGTTTGATACTACCCCATCGTTCCAAACCACCGCTCTTGGGACATCAACACCCCGAAGCAGTCGGTTGTGTCTTGACAATCCTAATTTCTGCCAGAACACGATTCGCGGGACTTCAACCGTACAAACCCTTCAACTTGTTGTATGGTTTGATGGCGACTGTGTGCGGCGCTAGTTGACATGAAGCTGCCCTTCACCTTTGATGCTGCTGCCATTTTTCAAATCCGTAGCCATTTTGGCTCAAGCCGGGTGCCCGTTTTCCGCGCGCGCGCTGCTTGGGATGGCTCCGGGAGGCCCCCCTGCAGCTCTTGCTGGTGGTGGGCCATGTGGTGGTGAACAGCTCAGAGGCAAAGCGTGAGCACGCCTCTCCGCTGCAGCCTTGTCGAGGCGCCTTCGCAGGGAGCGTGCAGCAGGCCTGGGTTGTCAAGTTGCAGCTCGCGGAGCTGAAGATGCTCTTCTTAGATCGCCAGTCCCGCCCGACGGCGAGGCGGAGTTGCGGTCTCTAATGGTGTCATTGGGAAAAGCTCTTCTGCTACACTGGCGGGCCGACGGGGCGCTTGGGGCTCACAACCACCAGCTTGGCGATGCCTTTCGTGCACTTCAAGCCGCCCTCCAGCTGCCAGAGGGCATCATCAACTCGTTCAATAAGGTCAAGGTGCAAGGCGACCTGGCTTGGCACGCTCCCCTGGCCGCTGCCGCTTCGGACCGTGTGTGCGTTCCCGTGGAGACGTTCGCCTTCAACCCCAACGCGCCCGTGTTCGAGCCTGAGACCAAATCTCATTGGGAGCCGATGGGCCCGTACTCAGAGTCCTTCGCGATCTACCCTCCAGGACTCGTGTGCACGTGCGGGACTACGGTTTTCTCATATGCTCCTTGTTGGTCGCACGGCCGATGCAGCAACGTACCTGTCAGTTCTCGCATTAAGGCCACTGTCAAGGCCTCTGTCTCGGAGCTCGATTCCTACCAAAAGGATGGCGACGCCCAGTTGGCAGCGTGGCGCAGGATGACACCATCTTCCAGACCTTTTCTGCGCCGCCGTGCCCGTCTGGACGCTGCGGCGGTCGAGGCTGACTATATGAAGACAATAGAGTCCCAGCTGACTGTTTGGCAGAGTGCGGCGCCGACCACCAGACTTTATGTGCGCAGACGGTTGTCCCTGTATTCGTCATCACAGGCATCTGCTGCTTATGCTGCTGGTATCGATCCCGTGCTTTGTGGTTATCGCCGCGCACCTTGCAACGCTGTTCCTGATCCCGCATCCCAGCGCCTTCCGTTTAGGTTTGCTCCCCCAGACCGATGGGGATCCTCGGAGAAAGTACCGTCGGAACCGGTAGAAGCGGCAGGTGCCTTAGACGGGGGTGGGGTTGAGTGATTGAGAGAAGCAGCAGGGTTTTCGATTTTGCATAGTTGTGCCGCCTTGTTTTCATCGACTGTAGATTGCGACGGGCTGCTCGTTCCTATCTAGTGAGCAGTTGGAGCAGGATTTATTTGATGTTGCACAGCGCCGCTGTGTTATCATTGTTGTAGTTGATCCTGCATTCTGCTTTCGGGCCCTCGGTGTTTCGGTGCCCCTTCTCTTCGGTCGTGTCCCTCCGCTCGTTTGTCTGTGGTTCCTAGGGCCCGTCTTTCATTCTCTTTCGGCCCCTTCGGGCCCCTTCCGTCGCGCGTCGGCTACGCGCAGGAGTTATTGTTCCGACGATTACCCGTGGATATATATATATATATAAACTCTGTTTATAAACATTTTTTTAAACGACTATGATCCAAACACAGAGCACGAGTGATATATGTATATATAAACATTTTTCAAACGAATGTGCGCAGCGGTGCGGCGAGAGCAATTGTGAAAACCACCCGCCCTCCAGCCTTGTGTTGCAGCCTTTCGAAAACGAATGTGCACAGCGCTCAGGCAAAAACAGCACTTCGGAAACCATTCGCCTTCCATCCTTGACTCTACTGCAACCTTTCAAGTCGAATCCGGGCGACGCTATGGCCAGAACAATAATTTGCACTTGATCAGCGAAGCTCTTGCGAAGTTCGCGCTTCAGGATCATACATGGTGAGGATGTCTCAGGGGAAACGCCCGGTCCGCACTAAGACATGTCTGGGGCTGCGACAGGGAGGAGTTACTGATGGTTAAAACCATTGGAGGAGGGGGAGCGGATGATGATGATGAGGAGGAGGAGGAGCCCAGCCGCTAAGTCAGCTGGATCCGACGATCACTACGTTGCTCTTGTCACCTGGCAGGGTCATGTACTTATACGCATCCACATCTCAACTCTCCATCAGTCCCGAGCTTAGCCCAGGGGATCGAAGGCCTCCAAATGAAGGCTCGACTTTTGTCCTGGATAGCTGCAACTGCATTATCAAGCCTGTTCTGTATCCACAATAGTACGACTTCCACACTGAAGATTTTCGATCCTCCGGGCTGTGGCAGGCCCATTGGGCCCTCACCGTCCCAGCGGGCAACAGCCTCGACAAATACAGATGGGGGCATGTGCGCTGGCCTGTGAGGAAAGGGGCTTGGGGCGTGAGGCTATACAGTCAAGACGCTGGAGTAAGGACCACTTTGGGCTCAGGAGGGGCCCTGGTTTTCGGCCGCTCCTTAGATCTAGGTCGGGGGACGGATTCGTGCCTGAGGCTCGCCGCGGCCAGAAAGGCGCCTCCGTTCCGTCCGTGGCCTGCCTTGCGGTAGCACGACGACTGTGCTGCAGCTTCGGTGTGTGTGTGTGTGTGTGTGGATGGCTGCGGCCGCGGCGAGGCCTCCGCGAGGAGAGCCGTGCGCGCAGACGAGCGGACGAGAGGCACGAGACTGCGGCAGGCAGGCAGGCAGGCAGCAACGAGCGAGCGAGCGAGCGAGCAGGCCGAAAGCGAGCGGGTGAGTTTACGGTCGGGAACTTTGGCTTAGCGCGTTGCACCGCCAGCTTCGCGCCTCAATTCGCTCCCGTTGCACCCCACCACTTGCTGATTGACGTTTTAATGTCTTGGACCACTTGTCGCCCGCGGACTTAAACATTGCGCCGCCAGTTCTGGCCCACCACGCTTTGGCGCGACACGTTAACCACGTCAAGACAAGGTGTTTCCCATGAGTCAGCGACAAGATCTTTTCCCAACCTCCCGCCCCGCGGAGCGGGTTGTTACGATATCGGCTTACAAGGCATGGCGTGTCGCCAGGGCCGCCGCCGCGAAACGTTAAGCAAAAGTTCCCGACAGTACTTCTGTTCCTTCTGCTCCAACTTCATCCCCTCCGGTGGCGCCGTGTACGATCGGAGGGGCCATACCCAATATTGACCCCTACACCTCCCCAGCCCAGGCATCTAGTGTTGAGCGCCCTGCATTCCAGCTAGCTTCCGAATTTAAAAGAGGTCGGAACAAACAAAACGAAAAGCGGCATGTCAGGTCCAGCCATGGGCCATGGCAGCCATGGGCCATGGGGCTGCTCCAGAAAAACTTGGTTTCCGTTGTCATGGGAGGCAGCTCTTCGTGGCTCCATGTCCGGCGCAAAGTTGTGGAAACTCCGTGCCCAGACACCCCCTCCCCGCGGCTTTATCCGTTCAGTCCATGGGCCCCAGACCTCTCGACTCATTCCAGGGGGCCGTGGCGGAAGCTCGTCCCTTTCAGGGTTCTCTCGGAGCCAGCAATCTTGACCCTGTGCCTGGCGCCGCGGGGCGCGCGCGGGCGGAAAAATAGCCGCCTCCAGCGACGACAAGACCTACAACTTGGGCCGCCCCAGGGCAGCAGAAAGTAGTCCAGCCACTGTCGGGGTAGCTATGTGGTTACTTCCCCCCACTGGGGGGGCCCATTCGGCTTCGATGCCCCTGGGGGGAGAGCGTCGTCACCTGGACCTTTGCGTGCGTTTTCCCTTTTTGCGGGCCGGCTTCTCATCCCGAGTCGTTTTCTGAGTGCCCAGGGGGCTCAAATACGTCTCTCCCCGGGCGCCGATAAGCGGCGAACGGCCTCCGCCCCTACGCTCTTCCCTGGGTGCTGGGTGAGTCTGGACAGCGCGGGCCGTCGGGACAGTTAGGGGCCAAGAAAGGTGGAACCTCTTGGTTTTTGACCCCGTGTGCTCCCGAGTGCCCAAGGTCAACTTTGAAGGGAGGGGGGGACGGGGGGAGCTGAGCCAAGGGTTCCACTTTTCTGCTCATCCACGGGAGGGGGGGTGGCGGGGAGCTCCGCTCCACCCGCCGGCTGCGACCAAGAGAGAGGCGCTGGCCACCGCCCTTCGCGCGCTCCCCTGGCGACGGCGCGCCTACCCCCCCCCCGCAGCCCAGCCGGGGCGGGGGGCCTGGGGGGGGGGCAGAGGTCCGCGCCGAAGAGCGAGCGCACGCTCCAATCGCAGATAGAGACGGGCCGAGCAGGCACGAACGGCTCAGGCCCATCAAAGGAAGGGGCGCCGGGCACCGCCCTTCGCGCGCTCCGCCCCCCCCCAGCCCCGCCCGTGGCGCCCCTCGGCGGGGTTTCCGCGGCATCCCCCGGTCGGGTTGGGCGGCGGCGGGCCTGGCGAGGCCCGGCTGGGGCAGGTATCAGAGAGGAGCGGTTCCTCCGCCCGTGGGTGCCGGCTGGCCCAGGTTTCAAGCTCGACCAGCAGGACCCGTCCCTCGTCAAGTCGAAGGCCGAGATGATGGAGTGGTGCGGCGGGGGCAGCGAAGCTTCCCGTTCCTCGCTGGAGGATCAGAGCCTTCAAGCGAAGGTCCGACATTGGGGAGGCATTCTTCCCTCACTGTGCATGTTTTGTGATCCAGGACAAAAATCGACAGGCCACAGTAAGAGAGCATTGTATGGTCCAGGGACACAGCGCCAAACTCCTGGAAGGGTTCGAGACCTTTGGGGCCTGCGGATCGACGAAATCGATTCATCGGAGGTCTGGGGGTCGGGAGGCAGCGACGCGTGCCAATCTGGCGGAGGGAGGGGCGCAGAGCGAGGCCCGAGACGTCCAAATACACCCTCCTCATACGAGCAAGCAGCGATGGCGCGATGAGGCCGATGGGCTGCCCGACTGACCCCTCTGCCCCTCTCCCACGCAATGCGCTGGCGCGGTGCCCTTGCAAGCCTTACTAGCCGGATGAGCGTCGACGAGGGGGACATGCGCGTGTGGGCACTGCAGGCGCCAGGGCGGCAGGGGGGGCGGAGGGCTGGAGGGAGGGAGGGACGGAGGGCTGGAGGGAGGTAGGGAGGGAGGGAGGCAGGGAGGGAGGGATGGAGAGAGGGAGGGAGGCAGGGAGGGAGGCAGGGAGGCAGGGAGGGAGGGAGGGAGGAAGGGATGGAGAGATGGCCGGAGGGATGGAGGGAGGGAGGAGGTCTGCGGGCCGTCTCGCGTCGGTCCGGGGCCGTTCTCGGGACGTCGGGGGGGTCTTGGGTCGTGAGGCTGGCCGTAGAGGCGCCCAGGCTCGTTTGTGGGCCACCCTTGTGTTGTCTTCCGGCCGTCCGTCAATGGGGCTGCTTCCGGAGCGTGGGTTCCTGCAGCCTCTTGGGGCGAGAAACACGGTGACAAACAACAATCGTTGTTTCATTTGGTGATCGTTTTCTTATTCGTTGTTTTGTCGATCGGCGCGGGCCCTCGCACCCCTCTCCCCCCATTGAGTAGATCTTGGCTGTTTTGGGCGTCTGTTGCGAGCAGGTGGAGTCTCCCCCGTAGGACGCACTGCTGCAAACACTAGTATCAAGCAGAGGTCCGGAGCCAGACCCCCCCTCCCCCCTTTCCGCCCAAAATCGAAACGCCGAGTAAGAAAACGCTCACCTGAGGGGTCTCCTGGAGGGCCTTCTGGAAGCTTCTCTGGACGTCTTAGGCGCTTGCTGGGACCTTCTCGTGAATGTTCGGCCATCTTGGCGGCCGTGCAGGAATTCTTGGGCCGTCTGGAAAGCCGTCCCCGGAATCTTGGAGGCCTTGAGGACTGCCCAGAAGGTTCGGTGGTCGCCCAGGGAGCTTTGAGAGGAGGGAATGCAAGTAGCCGGATGTTGGTGGGAGGAGGGATGGGAGAGGAGTATCTTGGGCAGAGAGTGAGAGACCTTTGGAAGAACGTCTTTTTTCATCGACACCTAGGGGCCGCGTCCTCCCCGCTGCGCTCTCGACAGGGCCGCGCCCCGGAGCGAACTGACTGTAGCGCCTCGTCTCGTTTCGTTTCCCAGAGCACGAGAGCGTTGTAACTACCACTCGGTCGCGTGCCAGGGGGCACGGTGACGGGCACAGGATGCACACTGCGCTCCCAGGTACGACGGCATTGTGAGCAAGTACCCCATCGTCTCCATCGAGGACCCCTTCGACCAGGAAGCGGTCGCACCCTGGGCGTGCTCGGCCGCGAGCGCCATGTTTCTGTGCAGCGACTCGTTCCGCATGCTGGGTCGGTTATCCGCAGAGGGCAGCGTGGCCCACACCCGTGCCGAAAAGCGTGGCCTAACCACCCATCTTGCATTGTCTTCTTCTGTGGTCCTGGCTTACACGTGCACGCCAAATGCTGGCGACCTGAATCACATTGCAATGCTGCCGTCGGCGTTTTGGGGGAACGCGGCGATTTTGGCCAGATCTGAGGCTCGCGTCCCCCGCTCTGTTTCGCATGCTTCGTCGTGACACTGTGTGCAGTCCTAGCATCACCAGCTCTGTTTTGACAGTCTGGCTTCTTCCATTCTCAGCACAGCGACAACATGGCACTGCAGCTTACGACGCTCGCCAGGAATTAAAATCCGACCGTCCTGGGCGAGTTTCTCATTCAAGTACGCCCGATTGATGTCTCTGCTGCGCCCGCCATTGAGAGCACACGATCGATGCACGATGTAACAATTTGTGCGTGTGGGTGTGAAATTTTAGTTATGCCTCATGCCTCCATGCGTGCGGTGACTGTAGCCTTTCCAGTTTGAACAGTCGTGCGTAACCATCTCTCGCGCTTCCGGGTGAAATCTGTCTCCTCCAACAGCACGGTGCAGGAGCAGGTCTAGCGCTTTCCCGTCCAGCAATGCGCCTCCTTTCAGATCTCCATTGGTCAGTGTCCTCCTGCTCCTCCTGCCCCCCCGCCTTGGAGACGTTTCACCTCCTCCTCCTCCTTTTGTTCTCGTCCTCGTCCTCCCCGTCATACGTTGCGCCGTATTTGCTTTCGCGGCGCACCTCTTCGGAGTCGAAATCCTTCCGCGTCACTTACGGCTTGTTCTCCAGGAGGTTGACTAGGGAGTTCTGCAGCGAAGAGGTCTTGGAGAGCCGACGCGTTTCAGACGGCAGCAGGCATGCCTCGAGATATGATGGATAATGCATGTCTGCCCTCTTGGGAATTCTGGCACCACGGGGCTTCCCTACTGTTGTCTTGATGGAAGGGATACGAAGTGGGTCTGACGAAATTGGCACCGCCTGAGCCAGCTGCAACATGCTAGCTTGTCCTCGGATTGAACCTGATCCCATCGATGCGTGTGCCAACGCAGTTACGTTTTCGAGAGTCTCGGGGGACTCGGGGTCTGCCCGAAGCACTTCACCAAGTACTCGTAGCTCTTGGTTTCTGCGTTTGTAGGTAATTGTTCCGCCTCCTTCGTCGACCTGAATCTATGTTGTGAGGTCTCGAGGGTCCCCGTTCTCGTGCCTCCTCTCTCCAACCTCTCCGCTTCGTGTGGAGCCCTTTTGCTTCATTGTGCCGCAAAGGACCATTGGGATGCGTACACGGAGATGGTCGAGATGATGGGCGAGAAGGCGCCTATGCACGCGACAAGTGTGCAAGCGCGAACACAGGCAGACTTGATGGAAAGGCTACCGAGGACAACCTTTGACTCATTCCGTGACCCCATATGGAGCTTCACATACGGTCTCAGTGGGCCTACGGTATCGGTGGGCCCGAGCGCATGGGTTCCCCGCCCATGTCGGCACACATGTCACACCCTTCGTGGCTCCATAGGTAGCTCCATCTACGCTTTCAGTGGGACGGCCGCATGGGCGCATCGGGGGTCCCTGCTCATTTCGGCAAATCCTCGCACGTCTGGTAGCTCCATATTGAATTCCACCTACGGTGTCAGTGGCAGGGCTGGCATGGCGCACCCGGCCCTAATTCGCCACGCCCCCTCACACGCTTCGTGTCCCCACAGGGGGCTTCACCGATTAACCGAAGGCCCCAGTGGCAGGGTTGGCGTCGCGTACCCCCCCAATCAGGCACACCTCTCACACGCTTCGTGGCCCAATACGGAGTTCCACCAAAGGCCACAGTGGCAGATTTCGCATGGCGTACATGACCACTTCACCACACCCCTCACACGCTTCGTGGCCCCATAGGGGACTCAGCGAAGGCCCCAGTGGCCGTCTTCGCAAGGCGACGCCCCGTCAGGATACGAGCGCCAGTCCGTCATTGCTCATTCCCCTCCTTCTTCTTCTTCATGGCCTCGCGGTACTCGCAGCTGCACGTGGTTGGGTCCTTCGCCAGGGTAATTTTCATCGAGCGGGGGCGCTGCGGAAGCCCAAGCCGAAAACAGTGGTGCATGCCATGTCCGAATATCGGGAAAATAACCAACCCGCCCAGTTGAAAACTTCACTGCCAAGGTGTTCCCCCAGCTGTAGGAAGGGAGAGTGCTTCTCAGAAGGGCTCGGGGGCTTCGAATATTAGCCGGCGAAGAACAGTACGATATTGCGAAGGCCTTGCGGCTGGTGCCGCCGACCCTGAAAGGGGACGACGACGACGTCGACGAAAGCGGAAACGCCCCTCGCACACGCCGTCCTGGTCGGCGGATGTGCAAGCCGCGCTGCCTGGCGGCCCCCAAGAAACACCATCGTCCCGACTAACCGCCCTGGGTGAGGGAGGAGGGAAGTACGGAGGGGAAGATATGGGAAGTGGGGGGGAAGACGAACACCCAGAACACATGGTAAAATATAGGGGATCCATGGATTTGTGTCTATTTATTTGTGTGTCCTGGGGCCCCTTTCATGGGGAGCGACGAGGGAGTTGTGGAGTTGCGGGCATGGCGAGCGTGTCTGTCACTGGATGGGAGCAGCTTATAAATGGCTGCTGCTGGTCGGCCTCCTCGGCTGATTCTCAGCCTTGTTATTTAGACCTCAGGCCACAGACCACGCTCAGTGACCTTGTTGTTCGGTAGCACATCACGGGAGCCTTGTATGCATGTCCTCGCAACTCCGTCCTTAGCGTGCGTGGCCGTGCGCGAGCGTCTGGTACCCGACAAGAGGCGCCGACTTAGCGTCGATTCAGCGTCGAGGAGCGTCCGTCAGCTTCGATTCACAAGCGCCAGCAAGATGGCACGGCAGGCTCCCACGCGTTGCCTCGGAGCACGCACCCTCGCGACCGCCCGCGCCCAACCTTCCCCCCTCCCCTGCGCTCCGCCCGTCCCTCGACCGGCGGGCCCGCGAGGGGCCCGACCCCTCCTCCGTGGCCAGCCGACCCGACCCGATCCGAACCGCTCGGTCCCGGCGCCCCTTCGCACCACGGCCGGGGCGCCCGCCGGCGCGCGCGCGCGCGGCGGTGGGCACTCGCGGAGCCGCCGCGCTCGCCGCCCGGAGGAAGCCCAACAGCTCCCTTCCCCTCTCCAGAGCTTCCCAGGCCTCCTAAATGGGGTCCGGGCAGAGGGCGTCGGAGGATCGCGCCGCATCGCCGATGCATCGGCGATGCGGCTCGATGTGGGGTCCGATTTCCGCCTCGCCCACGCCGCCGATGCATCGGCGATGCGGCGCGATCCTCCGACCCCATCTACTCGGACCCCATCTAGGAGGCCTCTGCCGAAGCCCCCCGCCTGCGGGCCCGCCAGGGTCTCGAGGACCCTCTCTTTGGTGACGAATGGTATTTCTCTGTCCTGATAAGCGGTCTGCTCCCGACATTCCGCTGCCGTAGTTTCATGTGCCTGGCAGGGTTTCCTGCCTCTCTTCACCTTTGGTTAGGTCGCCCCTGACTCAGCTGATCGGTGTGCCCTTGCCCTTGTGCGTTGGACACACGTTGGCCAGCGCGAGCCGTCGCGTCTAGTTGGCCGCTATCCGAGAAAGAAAAAGATCGGATCTTGGAGCCGTCTGAAGGTCTGACGTGGCCCGGCACTGGTTCTGGCCAGCAGGAAGGGTGGGCAGCTTTGAGGTTCTGGGTTCGGGAAGGTTTTCTGTCTTTATCGGCCTCTGGGGTGAAAAGCTGTACCCGATGGATCCCGGGAGGAGGCTTGGGACCGATTTTGAGCAATTTGGCCTCATCCATCCCTCCTGACCGATTTTCTGGGGTTCCAACCAGTGCAGACCCCCCTCGCCGCCTCCAATGACAAACGTTGGCTGGCGTGAGCCGTTGCGTCTTGCTGGCCGCGATCCGCGAAGAAAGGTGCCGAACTGCCGCGTTCGATACTCTTCAAAGATGTACAACCAGCACTTGCACGATACGAAGTAGAAGGGCGAAGAACATCGGACAGGAAGAGAAGGCCGCCAGAGACAGAGGTGGCATGACGGCATGGATGCCCCAGAATCTTCCTCGCAAGACCGATCCACTGATGGATCCAGCTCGCATCGCCTTCGCTCCCTCTCGCTCATCGCTCTTACGGGCTGTCCCTGGCTCTCACTCCATCCCACTGGCCACTGGCATCAAGTTTGTGCGAGGCAGCGTGTCGGGGATCGACGTTCGACCTATATATATATATATATAGAGAGATAGATTCCTGCTCCTGCCAGCCCACTGGCTGCCAGGGGGTGGGTCAGGGCATGGGTAAAACACTCGGCCTCCAGGGGCATGGAGCTCTATCCATGCCCACCGTGCCCCCGCTCCGCCCCCTGGTAGAGTTCTGGCACGAGCAGGGGCACGGGCAAGATGTCGATCGCCTGGCGTGACCTCCCCCCCCCACGGTGGCGTTCGGTAGCAAATCACGGGAGCCTTGTAAGTCCTCGCAGTTCCGTGTTTAGAGTGCGTTACCGTGTGCCAGCGTCTGGGAATCGATGAGAAAGAGCTGACGTACCACCCCCTGGATAAAAAATGGTGTTCGGCATTGCGCGAGGAAACAGCTCCTGGGTCTTCGCCCATCGATGAAACCTCGAGCTTCGATCTTCGATCGATCCCAAGATGACTCCAAGACAGGCTCGTAACCCGAACGGAGGAAAGGCGCTGCAGGGGTGGACGAGACGTGCGGCTGTTAGGATAACCCGAACGAAATTGCCATTTTTGGGCGGCGTGAAAAGCGGTCGGAAAAGGCTCTCTGGGGACAAGCGGCATCGCCACTCTCAAGCGGCATGAAGATCGGTCTGACAATTCGTTCTGAGGAAGTCCCACGCGAAATCGCCACTTTCAGATGCCATGGCAATTTTTCAGGTCGCCTTGGAAAGCAATATGAAAGTTTATGTGGGGAAGTCTCGGGCGGAATCGCATTTTCAGACGCTGTCCCCACTTGGCCGCTACAATATTCAAAAGGGTGAGAGATGCATCTAAAATTTCCAAATCGGCCCCAACTCCAACATTGTCCCGGGGGCCCGCGGCCGAACGGGAGGCCAAACGTGCCTTCCTCGATCCCCACGGTCTCCACTTTTTAATCCAGCGGGTTGGCCGCCGCCAGCGCGCTGAATCACGTCTCTTGTGTTTCCATGCTCCACAAAAGCGCGCACATCCTGCGTCTACTACAGCGACCCACACGCACCATTTCGTTCGAGATCCGGGCAGACTGCCCACACCGAACATTTTTTTGTGATGACCGCCGCCAGCGCGCTGAATCACGTCTCCTTTGTATGTTTTTCCATGCTCCACAAAAGCGCGTACATCAAAAGGGGTGAGAGATGCATCTGAAATTCCCAAATCGGCCCCAACTCCAACATTGCCCCCGGGCCCCGCGGCCGAACGGGAGTCCAACCGTGTCTTCCTCGATCTCCACCCACGGTCTCCACTTTTTAATACAGCGGGTTGTAGTGTCGATTAGCACCGATTCAGCGTCGATTTGCGTAGATATAGCGTCGATCTAAAGGCTGCCGCCTCAAGCGCCGACTCACCCATCGGCTGGAAAATTAATCGTTCCGTTTACAGTGGAGTGCCCCGTTACGGAAGGAATGGCTTGCAGTTGCGATGCAGTGCATTGCCTCGCACTGCGCTCCAGTGCAAAGCACTTCAACTCGTACTCACGAGCGAATGAGTGCGAAACAACGTGAGGAAACACATTGCTAATCAACGCATATCGAATGACAGCGGAACAAAGCAATGTATGTCTGATAGAGGCAAACCGACGCAACACAAGACAAGCAAAACGAAGAAATCCGACGGTAGCCAATTCAATGAGAACTGCGGTGCTTTGCAGAGCGCGGCAACACAACGCAGCAGAAGACAAGGCTGTCGAAAACGAAACGGCGCAACGCCGTCGCTTTTGTTTGTATTTTTGGCCGCGTGACCTCGCGGGGAATTCCAAACCGTGCCTTGAGGCTTGTGAGGCCATTCTGGCGTTGAATGGGGCTTGGGTGGGCCACCTTCATGACGTTGCAACGAGGACCAGGGAGGGGTGCAGGATGGAGACGCAAGGCGACCTGCCCTGTGATCTCCAAGCGGGCGGCGGATTTTGAAAACGAACGTGCGCAGCGCTCAGGCAATATTCACGTGTTTAATGCGACTCGCCCTTCAGTCGTGCACCTCGGTTCAAGAGACGGAGGAGGGGCGAGGGAAAGAGAGAGAGAGAGAGAAAGAGAAGTATGACATAAGAAAAGAGTAGCCAGGGACTTTGTCAAGCCTGGTGGACCTCAGGGGCTCGGTGGTTTAATTTGGGTTTGTAGGTTTTCCCAATTCCGCCGTGTGTGTCAGACTTCAGGCCAATTTCTGCGCCGTCGGCTGGGTGGAGTGCACTTGTGAAGGCGAGGGAGGAGGCCAATGTCGTTGCGGGTAGGGCACAATTGCAGCATATAGCATGCTTTGAAAAGCTAGCTGTATCGCGAGACAGTTTAGTCGAGCCCGCGGCCGTTTTCAAGAGGGGCCCTCAGGAGCCAAGGCCCGGAGCTTTGGTAGGCTGCTCACAGGAGCAGGAACATTTCTGCGTCAGGCGGTGCTGCTCCAACCTTACCTTTATTTACTTATCATCGACAGTCCTTTTTTCCTTTCCGAATTCCTCCGTGTCACTGGTGGTGGCAGGTAGTGGCCGAGGACTGAGTTTTTTGGGGTTGCTAAGGCACGAGAAAAAGGGGATATTATCATGGACATCACAAGCATGAGCGTTTGCCTTTCTGGCGCAGGGGAGCACAACGACCACGGACCTGCCATTGCAACTGCGTTGTCTTCCTCTGGAGCGTTCTACGAGATGCCGGTCGATCACGAGAAACTTGGGCCACCACCAACGCAGGATGGCCAGGCGGCGACCTGGCGGGAGTGTCTATGACCATCAAGGTTTCCCCCACCAGTGCCTGCACGTACGGGCGCTTACCTGGGTCATTAAGTAACTGGATGGGTCCGCCGAGATTTCGCCACGTTGCGGCCTGTCGCCGCTCGTGGTCGCCTCGTGGGTGCACTGGACGTACTGGATGGGTCCACCAGGGTTCAGCCACGTTGCCGCGCGTCGCCCCTCGTGGTCGCCTCGCGGGCGCATCGTTTCTGCTGTGCATGTCCGAGATTTCGCCACGTTGCCGCCCGTCGCCGTTCGTGGTCGCCTCGCGGGCGCTCCGCGTGTGCGGGATGGGTTCGCCGAGGCTTCGCAACATTTGCCTCCCGTCGCTGCCCGTGGTCGACTCGTGGGCGCACCGCGTGCAGTGCTGGATGGGTCCGCCGAGATTTCGCCACGTTGCCGCCCGTCGCCGCCCGTGGTCGCCTCGTCGGTGCACCGTGTGCGCGGGATGGGTCCGACGGGGATTCGCCGTGGTGCCGCGCGCCGCCACTTGTGGTCGCCTCGTGGGCGCACCGCGTGTGCAGAATGGGTCCGCCGAGGTTTCGCCACGTGGCAAGCCGTCGCAGCCCATGGTCGCCTGATGGGCGTACCGCGTGTGTCCGCCGGGATTTAGCCACGTTGCCGCGCGTCGCCGCTAGTGGTCGCTTCGTGGATGCAGTGCGTGTGCTGGATGGGTCCGGCGGGGATTCGCCATCAAAGTATATCAATCACTTGTAGGACAACGCTCGATTCTAACAAAATCCCAGACTGCGGGAACCATATCGTGACGTGTCCGCATTTGGGTTTTCTGCGCCAGAGCGGCCGACGATTCGCCGAAGACAACCAAGAAGGCCCCAAGGGGATCGCAAGATGGTTCAACAGGGCCCCAGAACACGCAAAGTGGCACCATGACAGCCATATAAAACCCCAAGCCCTGAAATGAAGAGTTCAGAGGGTGGCAGAAGAGACGCCGAGGCAAGGCCAGGGTCGGATCCGGGCGGAAAATGGAAGGGCTGGGGGGTCTCAAAAGGGAGGTCCAGGTGTGATGATGTCAGCAGGGGTCGACTGGGACGGGGTCGGACCTGGGCGAGAAATGGAAGAGTGTGGGGCCTTCGAAAGAGAGGTCCAGGGTGCGGGGATGTCACGGAGAGTGAGTATGACGGGGTTGGGTCCGGCCAGACATTGGGGTTGTTAGAACGATGTCAAAGGTGTGGGAATGCCGATGTGTTTGATGGGTCAGAAAAGAAACATCCAGGGAGTGAGCGACAGGGTCGGGTCCGTCAGGTACGAGTGCCAGCATCAGAGACAGTGAGAACCAGTGCTCCAGGTCTCAACCTGCGTGGGCCGAATTGGAAAGTTCCATCCCGCACGCCTCTGGTGTCGGCTGGTCAGGTGAGAGTGAGCGCCAGGATTGTATCATCTAGTTCTTGTTATGAAATGCGCGTGTTCCCGCTCACTCGGCCGACGTACTCCATACTGTTGTGTCACCGTCGGATGATGTTGAAATGGTGTTGTCGATCCTTTTGGTGAGCGGCAGCAAAAGAGAATGGCAGGGCGTCGAGAAACCTCGCTACCTCGAGAACGAGGGTGGCGCAGTGTCGCCTGCCCCCCCGCTTCGAAGAGTCGGCGGGCGCGTGCGCTGTCGGTCCAGGTAACCAGGCGCGGGTTCGGCGAGGGCAAAGCGGCTTCGTCGATACGCCATTCAGCGAGGAGAGCCATGGCGAAGAGTTCCTCGCACACTGTGGTCACGTGCCGCGTGCCAGCAGGGTGGCCGCGCGCGTGCCCTTCAGCGACGTGGTGGGCCCAGCTGACTTGGATGACGAGCCCGCCTGGCACCTGGAACGTCGCGAACGCGCGGCCAGGGTCTCGGGGGGAGAGCGCCAGGGTCGGTCCGTGGCAAGTTGGCGTCGATGACGCGGTGCGCACCGAGTCGCGGCGCACAAGTCGCGGGCACCATGGTGCGCACAGGGACCTCGGCGTGCCTGAGGCTTCGGCGGACCAGCACAGCCCGGAGCTGAGGCGTACAGGCGTGGCCCGATGCGATCGAGATTCTCGCGGGCCTTTCTCGTCGTCGCTGCTCACTCGGCTGGCGAACGCCCGCAATCAAAGACATAAAATCGACGCGCCATTCACTGCGTAGAAAGTTGGGATGAGAAGGAGGAGGAAGAGGCGGCGGATGAGGACGAACACAAAGAGGTGGATATAATAATAAGGAAGACGAGGAGGATACTGATGAGCGGCTGAGCAGGTTGCCGCGGTGGTTTTCGTGCCGCTTCGGATCAGTTCCCTTCGCCTGATGACCATTATCGCAATAGTATCATCGGCTTAAGTAGCCATTCTGGCTCAGTCTGAGGTGCTCTGGCAGTTTTGGCAAGAAGAGCTGGCGCGTCACGCGGCGCTTCAATGGCTCGATCTAACCCGCCACGCGTTCGGAGACCCTGGTTTTGTACCGTTGATTGGTTCAAGAAAGATGCCCGTCATTCCCTATGAGAATACCAGTGCCAGCTCACACCACGATACCCCGTGCTGGAATAAAACTGACATCCGCATGGGTTGTGACCCTTTGAAGGGTTGGTGTTGTGGTACCGGCGCCACGAATCATTGGCTTCAGGTTCAAGTTGACCTTGGTGGCGAGAAACAGATTGGGCGCGTGGATCTCTTCATCGGCCTATTCCAGTGCGACGCCTTGGCGCAAAGCTCCTTGCGGTATTCCGTTGATGGCAGCGTGTGGTCAAAATGCGCTCCAGACGTACGAAACTTTACCCAAGTTGAGAATTCCATGATTTTAATAGTTTTATTATTTGAAGGCCAGATTTGTGAAATCGGTGTATTTATCTGAAGACCTGGAGGGCTCTGTGGTGCAGATGGAGTTACACGGCGGCGAACCAGACGCACGGGTAGAGAAAAAGGCGGTGGAGGAGAAGGTGACCCTGCATTATGTCATTGTAAGTGTGGCTGGGACCGATAGTGTTAATGGCCAATACGAGACCCTTCGACCGCTACGGTCCACACTGTTACAAGCAGAGGTCGGGAAAATGCAGATTCTATCCTTATTCTGCGCGCTCGGGGATCCCAGCTGGCTGGTACTTCGACTGCGGCGATTTCACATGTATCTACTTTGCACCAGGTGGCAGTGATCGTATCCCGCTGGAGGGATGAAAATTCCCGGACGGCGACGAACTTGTTCGGCGAGGTGCAGCACCGCCGCCAACGTTCAAGGCACGTGCCCATGAGGAGGGCCCGGAGCTGAAGACGCGGGCCTCGCAGCATGGCGCCGCCTTGCGGGAGCTCAAGGGAGCCCTTCTTGCCAGGGGCGAAGAGCTGAAGGCTTCGGTGGCGAATCATGGGGGCCTAGTATGCGCTCGTAATTCCGTCTTTGGCGTCGACTAGCGTCGATTCGCGTCTGAGGTCGATGAGATAGCGCTGGTTTAGCTTCGGCTAGCGTCGATTAGCGTCGATTCAGCGTCGATGAGCGTCGATTTAGCGTCGATTCGCAAGAGCCGACAAGATGCCGTGGGAGGCTCCCATGAGTTGCCGCCGAAGAAGGTGCTGGCCGCCAAGCGCGACGAGGAGCTCAAGGCGATGTCTACCAAGAAGACGTCGCCAGCAAGGAGCTGGAGCGCATCGCCGCCGCCGAGCAGCTCGCGACCGCGCGGGGCAGCGCCCTGGCGGCCGCGCGCGCAGGCCACGGGGCGGCGGAGCGACAAGCAGCCCTGGAGGCGTTTCTGCATGCGTTGCAGGTGGGCTCCGGCATGATCGGGGACGGCGCTAGCTTCCAGAGATGGATTGTCCAGCAAGGGCTCGTGAAGGAGCAGAAGTAGGAGGCCAGGGCGCTGAAGTTCAGGCGCCCCGCGGAGGCCGCAGCGGGCATCGAGGCTCCCATTGGCATCAAAGGGGCTTACATAATAGTGCGAGGGGTGGGCTAGCTGCCACGCGGGCCGAGTTCGAAGCGCACGGGCGGTCCGGATGACAAGGCGAACTTCGCGCGCGTGGTTGAGGGGGGGCGCAAGACGAGCAATGGCTACCGGATCACGTCAAGGCCGACATCCAGAGAGGGGCAGCACCGCGGCGGCCCTCTGGAACCAGGTGGTCACGATGGCAACCATTCTCCAGAGTCCAAGTCAAATTTGAAAGAACACCACGTAGCGGCGTAGCGGCTGTGCGCGACGAGCTCGCACGGAAAATTGAGCGCCCCTTTCAGGGGCCGCGCGCCTTCGCCGCGGCCGTTTGCGGTCACCGTCTTCTTCTTGGCCCAGGGGCTCAAGAAATTGCGCGCCGCGCAGGCGGAGATCGACTCACGGGGTTTCGCCGCGGCGTCCACGTTGCGGCGAGGCTCAAGCAATGCCACTATCAACCTCGAGACGTTCAAGAATTGACGGGGGGCGCGGAGCTGGCCCCGACGGGCGCGTCCGAGAACCGCTCCGCGGCGGCCGAGTGCGCGGCCGGCGAATCCCCGCTGATCCTGCGCTATAAGACGAGGGGGTTGACGCGGGGAGTTTCGCTTAAATTTCTTTCGGCATGCCAGAAGGAAGAATTATTGCACATCCCTGGCGCCCCCCTGCCGTTCGACAGGGCGGGGGAGAGCGAGGGTGCGGCCGTTGTCGCCGTCGCCCCCGCTGTGGCGCGAGCCGTCGCACGCGCGTCGAGCGCGGCCGCCCTCCTCTCGCAGTGGTCTTCGTCGGGCATTCGCGCGTGCACTTTGGCGCCCCGGCGGTGCGTCGGCAGGGCCCCGTCTCGCCTGGCCCGCGCTGCAACCCGCGGCGGCGCGCGCGCCGTCGGCCGGCGCGCAGCAGCCGCTTGGCGGAGACGCGCTAGGCCGGCAAAACCGCTTCCCAGGCAGCCCCCCCCCCCGCCTCGGACGGCAACTCCTTCCCCGGGACCGACGGCGGCTGCGCGGCCAGGCGGGCCTCGGCCGCGCGGCCGGCCGCGCCTAAGATGGGCGACGGCTGTCTACGAGCAGTCCAAGTGCGCATTCTTCTCCTCTCCCCGCCCCCCCCCGCGCCCCCCGCCCGCCCCCGTCCTCCGCCCGACCTCCCTCCAGAGAAGGCACGCCGAATGTTGTTCGGTCATCGGGGTTTTCATGTTCAGGGCAGGTGCGTTTGGACATCAAGTTCTTGGAATTCCCACTGGCTGTGGGTGGCATTATCGCAGCATGTTCCCTCTCCCTCTCTCCGCCATTTGAGTGGCGCGCATTCTTGCTGAGCCGATGCGTCGCGCGACGTGGCGCGTGACTGGATCAATGTTTGTGCGTGAGCGCAAGAAGCGTGGCGACCATCCGAAGAAGCCCCCAAGTGCAAGCTGGCCCTCCTACTAGCCCCGCCAAACAAAACATTGAAATCCGTACAAACCCGAAGCGCTCGATAGTTCGGGCACTTGTCAGAAAACGCGTTCTTCCATCCTGTGAGGGCACTGCCGGATTTCGGACACCCCTGCGTCTGGGCCGAATGCCTCGCGCCAGCGTTGAAGTGGCGCTCGCCGCGCAAGCGCCGGAAACGCCAGTCGATTCACGTCTGGCGGATCCTGTTGGCGCTGACGCGCGATTCGCGCCCGCGGCCTTTCAGCGCGAAGTTGCGACATAATGCTGCTAACCCGTGAGATCGATTCAGGGCAATAGTGGCACTGCTTGGGGATTGCCCTAGCACATTTGAACGAATTGAGATGAGCGGCCACCGTCGCTTCCATGATCACAGACGCTATCAGCAGCAGTCTCGTCGGCGCTCCGCCACTGCGGGTGTCGCCATCATCGCCGCGGTGATTGCGGCGGTGGCGATGGGCGCGGCGCCGGGGGGGGCGATGGTTGAGGGATTTGCCCGGGGGGCTTCAGACCCTGGAGGGTTTCTTATCCGATGGGGGCGGCTGCGATGCCCATGGCCGATCGACAATTGGCGCTCCAGTGGCTTTCAGGCGTTTGATTCCATGTCCAAGGCTTCCTTATTCAAGGCCTCCGCCGCGAGTCCGCGGCCATGTTGGCTCGAGCCATTCGGCGTTGAGCAGGCGTCGGTCGGGCGCGCGGGGCGCGCTCGCGATGGGGGCGGATTCGGGCCTCTCTCGCATTCGCGGCCTGCCGCCGGCGGCGCAGGCGGCGGCGGGCGCGGCGCGCGGCGGCGCGGCTGCTGGGTGCCCGCCAAATGTGCTGCAGGCGATCGCGGCGGCTGCTGCGCGCGGTGCTGTCCCGACTCCGCAGCCCCGCGTGGTCGGCGGCGACGCGCTGGGCGGCGTACAGGAGGTGTTCTTGGACATGGAGGTCAATGGGGATCTCGCAGGCCAGAGCGCTGCCAGGGGGCATTGATTTAGCGCCAGGATCTGGCGCGGCGCCTCGGCAAGCAGTCCAAGGTGCGCAACGGCGCGGCGCGCAGGGGCGTCGGGCTGCGCGGCGACATCCGCGGGGTTTTCAGCGAGCGTGCGGACGGCGTCGCACAGGGTGCCGCCGAGGAGGCTGCGTCGCTCGCCGGTTGTTCGACGGGTCGTCTCCTGGAGTGCAGCGCGCGGTCGGAGCTCGATCATGAGGCCTCGGTTGCGGCGGGGCCCGCGCCGAGCACGCCGCAGAACTTTCACGTCTTCTTGGGCGCGGAGGCCGAGGATGGTCCTGGTGGAGCCGTCGGTGCCGTCTCTGACAGTGACGGGGATGAAGACGTTCGTGGGGATGTTGGTGCTAGCCTTCTGCGTGCTGCTGGCGATGCTGCGCGGCCCCTGGAGGCGTCGTCGGGCGTTGAGCCGCGCTGCTGCTGCGTTGGGGGCCCGTTCGCGCGCCAGGGCGCGCAGACCTGGGGCGTCGTAGACCCCGAGGACAAGTGCGAGGTTCTGCTCGTTGAGGAGTCCTAGCGCCTCAGCGAGGTCATTGTCTCAGACGCGGTGATGGCGGGCGAGCTCAGCGAGCTGCGAGCGTTGGCAGATGGCCTGTGCGACGACCTGATGCGGCGCAAGCGTACCAGGATGTAGAATTCGAGGCCGACGCTGGGCCGTCGGAGAGGGCGTCCGAGGAGGCTCAGGTCAAGGAGGTGGTCGACGACGGGCCGACGGCGCAGGATGTGGAGCGCGCGGTGGCATTGGTCGAGAACTTCTCGTCGTTGGCCTAGCGTCTCCAGGCCCTCACCGACGACGCGTGTTTTTTTCTTCCTCTTTTCTTCCTGTTTCGAGGCGCGGCGCAGCTGCGGCAGTGCAAGGCGCCTCCCCGGCATGATCGAATTACTGTTCCTTTGCGGATGTGTCGGAAGGAAAAAAAGGCCTCCACCGCAGCGACGATGACGCGCCTGGAAGCTGGACGCACGGGGCGTTGCCAGCCTGGGCGAGAGCCTGGATGCACGCGTGGCCGCATGCGCATCCGGCGCGTGGCCCCCGCGCGGTTCCACGCGCGAATCCAGCCTTCCTTTTGCTTCAGCTCTTGTTCAAGATTTGTTGAAAACGATGTTTTTTGTTTCCCGGTGCTCTGGTCCTTTTTCCTGGGCCCCCTCTCGGGCGTTGTTGGGTTCGTCCCCCCTAGTCGCTTTCCCGCCTCGGTCCCCTCCCTTGGCTCGCTTCGGGTCCACGCCCAGGTCTCGCCCGCCTCGCCTAAGGGTTCGGGGGCTTCGAATATAAGCCAGCGAAGCACAGTACAATATTAAGTTCTCCGTCGTCGGGGGCGCTTGCCCCAGGGCGGCCGAAAAGCACGAAACAATAGAGGCACTGAGCAGATTCGCCGTCGTCGAATAGTCACACGGCCGAACACATGCGCAAGCGAGCTTACGCGGAGGGACCGCCCCCCTTACGTTTCCCCCGACCGGACTCCATTCAGAAACAATCTTTCCTGGATGTGCCAGGGGGTCCCATCCTGGCCAGTTGTTCGAGCCGCGCCCAGCCGCGTCGACGACAGCCTTGAAAACGGCGCCCGGACACGTCCAAAACGCCGCCGCCGCCGCCGCCGCCGGCGACGACGACGAC